AGGTCTCCAAAAGCCTTCCTTCCTTTACAGCGCATCGGCTCCCTGTGATCGTATTTCCCCTGTGCACTCCTTCCTTCCTTTACGTGAATAGCTGAATCTGACAACTCCTCCTTCCTCACCTGCCACCACTTGGACGGAGCAGAAACTACACTCGGCAAATGAGGCAGTGAACGGAGGCCGTGGCTCCAGGGGAGCAGGAGGAGGCTGTGTCCAGGTCGAGCGAGAAGGAGGAACCAGGAAGCTTTTCAAAAAAAGTGTTTCGCAGTCACAGCGACCTCACTTCCCACTGGGCAGGTCTTGTTGATGTGGTTGGTACGGCTGAGAAGCCGGGTTTAGGTCCCATGGAGGTCCGTGGGGTATGAACAGGGGGTCCGTGGTGTTAAGTGAAAGCAGCAGTGGAGCTTAAAAGCGTATTTGGTATTTTACTTGGTTAAATCAATATTTTGATACGGCCCCTTTTGCTCATACATTTGTTACGACTGCCCTGTTTGGCACTGTGTGTGTGAATGAGCATTTAGATCAGATGTTGATGAACACACACCTCTGCCATCATTCTATGAGCGCCTGTGTGAATGGGTTAATGGTGACATTTAGTGTAAAGCGCTTTGAGTGGTCGGAAGACGTGAGAGGTGCCACATAAGTGCAAGTTAATTGGCAGTTCACCGATACCGGTCCCGGGGCTTGGGGGGCCACCGCCACCGCGGGGGTCTGCTGCGTAGCCGGCACCGCCACGGCCGGCGCCGCGGGGACCTTCTGCAAGGAGGAGACAGAGAGATAAACAGGACGTGACGCCTCGCTCGCAGCAAGGCCACGGAGAACAGGAGGCCGGCGCCGCGGCGCTGCCTGTCACATCTGGTGTCCTGACCACGGCAGACGTTGCTTAACAGACAAGTGCGGTTAGGGGGAGGGGGGCTTCTCCCTCGAGGCTGGGAAAGACGGGGCGCCTTGTAAGCTTTCCTTCACAGTCACCTCAAATTTCTCCTGGCAACACTGGGTGTGATCGGAGGCTCCCATCACTGAAAATATCACCTCCACCTGTGCTATAGAGGCAAGGACTCCTATACTAATAAACACGTCATCATTGTTCCCAGTTTCTTCTGCAAACAAACCAAGAAAAAACATACGTGAAGAAAACATAAAGCGTGAGGGAAGAGCAGGCGAGTAAGGAGGGTTGTCTCACTGGGCGAAGTGCAGGACAGGAGGAGGAAGAGGAGGAAGAGGAGGAGGAGGTCTGGAGGGCAGGGGTGGACGGGATGGGAGAGGGAGACGGCGCCATCTTGGCCGGGGTCAAGGGGCACTGCCTGGCGGTCAGGGAGGCCGCGGGAGACTGCAGGGAGGAGAGAGAGGGAGAGAGAGACAAACAGAGAGCGCAGAGAGATCAGAAAGGGGGAAACACAGAGAGAGAGAAGAGGGCGACCAACGAGGAAGAGAAGAAGGGAGCAGCGGCGAGCCTGGCGGAGGGACGGGGAAAGGTCATGGAGGCGCAAAAAGGAAGGAGGGAGCCGGATAACGAGCATGCTTTGGACCGTCCCTCGGGGGGGGGACACACCTACTCTGATGACACGTACCTATTAAAGCAGGATTTTATACAGATTGTTCTCTAATGTCACAACTCCGTTCATATATCACAGTTAGCTGTTTTTCTCTAAATACATAGCAGAATAATTTTTGTTCTTCTGCTGCTATTATGTTGTTATTTAGGGAGGTGTTAACAGAGATAAATCCCCTCTGTACAAACAAAAAGAAAGAGTTTTGAACCCGGCTTTATCCGATATTCAGGTGTCTGTTCTGGAAATGTATGCAAACATTAGACTTATATAATAAGACAATGCATCTTTTGCATATTTAAACACAACTTTTTAGAAAACTTGTAGTACAAAAGAAAATAGACTTCAAGTGGGGAAGTTTCACACTGACATCTATGAGTTAGACCGTAGCTCATTAGCTGCAGTTCCTCCTCTTCAGCACTAATGATGCATGTGATGCTCTTGGAAGGATTTGGATCTGATTCAGTTTGAAGAGAAATCAGGCAGATAACGGACATGTTTTTATTCTTAAACCCCTTGTGTTTTCATGACGCTGCCCCCCTCCACCTCCCCTAACAGGAGGATCAAGAGCAGTCAGACAAAAGATCTGCACAAGCATTTCTCCGTGTTGGTGCTCTGTTGCATTCATTGCTAATTCATGATTCAAGATGTCACGGGCAACATTTTTTATTTGAGTTCTTACATTTTCTGCAAACTCTTTTAAGCAAGTATATATGTATTTCCATCCATCAAACCGCTCATCCCGCCCACAGGGTCGCGGGGGGGGGGGGGGGTGGAGATCATCTCCAACCAACTTGGGGCGAGAGCGGGGTTCACCCTGGATTGGTCGCCAGCCAATCGCAGGGCTACACAGAGACACACAACCATTCACACTCGCGTTCACATTCTTACGTGTGTTAAGATTGAGTCATTGTTATAACTGTATGACAACAATGAAATAAATGAATAACCCACAACAAACACTCGGAGGGTGGAGGGTTTTTGGAAAATCTGACGTAAGTTACATTAGATCAGAAAACAAATTATTGCAAAGTCTGTCGAGCCGCTGGCGGCAGCAGTAGCAGCCACAACAAGCTAACGCGCTAACGAGCCGCCCAGTTGGCCAGCGAGCGTTGAACAGCTGTTCGGGTCCTTTTCGGGGTCAATGAATGAATGTGCAGGCTTGAAAAAGCAATACAGTCACATACCGGGATGCCGTCAGAATGTTTGTTAATACCGTGATGTGGATTTTTGGGCACACCGCGCAGCATTAGCGCGCACACACACACTTCCTGGCTGCCAACCCGCCAGTAGGCCCTCTGCCCCGACCTCTGGCACACAGACAGGCCAAACACACACACACACACACACACACACGCGCGCACAACAGGAAGACGCACAGCCTGCCAACGACAAGGAGGAGGAGGTGAGAAGAAGTAGGATAGGAGAGGAGGAAGGAGTTTCCCTACCGCTCCAAAAAAAGTTTTCTGCCATTCAAACGAATGTTGCAGTGAGTAGTTGGGAGGGGGGGGGGGGTGCATCCCGCCGCCGGTGATGCCTCTATCTCTCTCTTTCCGTCTCCACTTCTCTCTCTCTCTCTCCTTCTTTGCGCACGAAGACGAGCGTCTTGAGAGAACCAAGAGCCTTGTTAGCTTTTTAAAATAATCAGGCAGTTGGATGATGAATGATTTAACAGGTATGGAAGGAAGGAAGCTCGGGATGCCTTCCGTTCCTCCCCTCGGGGGGTCACGGTGAGAGTGACAGGCCGACGGAGGGGCTGAGCTCTGGGAATAAACACCATTCCCTTTCATTTCTTTTTCCCTGCCAACGCTTTTCCTGCCGCGGCCCGGCTAATTTGTCACACGCGATGACAGTCTGCAAGTCTCTCTATCATCCACGCAGGGCTTTTTCTTCTCTTTTTTCTTTCCCACATCGAGGGTGGATGCAGGTGCAGGGGGGGTCGGGGGGATGCTGTTTTGTAACTGACGTGGACCGTGAGGTCTGCGCGAGCAGCGGCGCGACGTTCTTTTTATGCTTCAAAAAGAAGAATCAGGGTGGAATTTGGTTTTCATTGATTGGTAGACCCTTCCCCTCCGGTGTAAGAAGGTGGTACCGGCAGTAAGCAACACTACCTGAGGGGGTAAAAGTACCACCTCACAACACAGAGCACGCTGCTGCATCTCATGGATGTGTTCGGCAGTGTGGGGCTGTATTTCTCTGACATTTATCGTCTGGTCCAATCCTTCTTTTGGCAATCAGAGATACTGTTTATAATACTCGTAATGGCAGCGTGGAACAGAAGATGAACATGTGTCTCACGGCAGAGTGTTTAGGGTTGAGGAGGAACTTCGATTCAGAAGTAGAAGTGGGCGCAAACAGGAGAAGTTGAGCTGTATGTTCTTTTTAAGACAGTGAAATGCTGCCCTCTGGTGTCGGAGCGTAGTCCTCGCGGTCAGTGATGGGATGAGCAGAGGGAGCGTGATGGGTCTCTGGATACAAAACCTCATCTGATAGTTCTAAATCCCAATGTCAGCTATGCCCCTTTTCTCAAAATGACAAAGTCACCTGACCAAAACAATCACTCCATTATTCCACTGAGCTGTTTCAAAAAGAAACACTAGCAAGATGGCTAAAGGCTTTCTGGTTCCAGCTCGGCACATCTGATTTTTGTTCTGTTCTTGTTCATCTTCCGCAGAGGGAACTGCATGAGTCTGCATGAACATGGCTCGGTGTTTGGGTTTCGGTGTTGGACGGGCAGTTTGACGGAGGGAGTGTGTGCTTTGGCTAAGTGGAGTCGGCCTCGTCCTCTTCTGATGTTTCAGAGACGGAGAAAATAACGCTATCTCCTTTAACAGGATGAAACAAAGTGCAAAGTATATGAAAGGAACCAAATGTGTCATCACAAATCAGTCATAAATGCCTTGCAGGCCAAATGGATTTTTAATGATCTTATTTGTTTTGCTCTAATAAAGTATGCCCGCTCTAAAGCTCCAACGTCTACGGTTCAACCCCTCTGAGGGGACGGGGACAGCGCGGCTCAGGAAACAGTGGCAGGTGGAGGTTTAGTTGGCCTCAGCTGCACCATACAGGGTTAGTTTGTTTCTCTCCCTTTAAAATGAAAGGGATTGGCGGGTGGAGAGACAGCTGGACGGAGAGAGAGACCACAGACGGAGACAGAGAAAAGTTTGGTTTCTGCTGTTTTCTACCATAATAAAGTCGGTAAAATATATACAGGTACAGTCCATTTACCATTTACCAATTACCATTGTCATCATTACAGACGGTTGAAGGTGTGGATTCTACGTGAGTGATGCATCCACAGGTGATCATAAGCTAATTCCAATGAATGATTCAGTGGGCTCGTTAAAGTGTGATGAGAGGACCCCTATCTGTGTCCCCAATGAGGACATTAATTCACCTATTAATCGCACTTTAATCTATATACGTAAAATAATCCCCAACGCTCATTTGTTCTAATAATTACACGGCCAAACGTGTTAATCACACCCCAATTAGGCGGCGTTGAGCTGAGCGAGCTCGCCCCAATGTCGGTCCAAGTAAATCGAATCAGCGTTTCTCCAAATGAAAGCCCCCCGATTTGTTTTGGGCAAAAAAGGTCAGGTGGCGACATAAATTCTGCAGAGATCAAAAGGAAGGAAACACGCTGGAGGACTTCCTGTAGGATGTGACACATTCAGTCAGGGCTGCTCTCATCTCCTTTTGCATTGTGGGAAATGAAGACAGGTTTATTTTAATTCTGCGTCCTTAATCCCGACATGGAGGCCCATTTGTATGTATATCTATATACATACACATACATACATATACAAGAGTCTTTGTACTGTGCGGCGTGAACGCACTGTGCCTCACCTCATACCTGGTATGGTTAGCGTGTTAGCATATTCCATAGTCCAATGGGTCTTACCCGATGCCAAATCCGTGTCCATCTATCCATCCAATAAAATAATGTTCTCCACATCTGTGTTTCTGGATGTCTGATGAATGAAATTTGTTTCATCTGCTGCGTATCTCTCTATTAGACCTCATTTCAGCACCAGGAGCTGTCCACAGTCCCACAGCGTCTGTGTGAGCAAAGCTTTCTCTGCTATCTCACTCAAAAGGTTTTCTTATAAACGTGGTACGTAAATGTCCATGGGTGTCCTGATTACTATAGCAGGGTGAGGAAGACAAAACAGGGTAAAATAAAAGTATTACTAAATAAAAGTTTAGAGTGGTCTGGTCTTCACGCTGTGCAGACGCATTAAGACGCTGTTCCCCGTCATGCTGAAGATAGATCCACTGGACACCTCTGACCCGAAAGGACCCGGCCAGAGAAAAACCTTCAGGTTTAGTTTGCAGAGCGCGGGCCGGAGAACATGGATGTCCCAGAATGAATACTTCATCCTTTTCTGTTGACTGCTTTACCGTCATAGGCTCTAATTCACAGGATCACTGTTTATATGTTTGGTCTATTATTTTCCAGATGTGCTTGTGTTGCCAGAATATAAAAGCATGCTTTTGATATATCTATCACAGTAAAGGTTGAAAATAGTTGTTACATACAGCCTTCTTAGTACGTGGCCTTATCAGTAACCAATATGTGCAGGCTAGATACCTATTTGAAAGGAAAAAACACACGCGGAAATCAAAGCTGTTGGTGTGTACTTAATAGCAGCAAAGATGCCTGTGAAGAACCCTTAGGGTGCAGTCTTACCGAGTGCTACCGGTCACGCCGATGAAGGTCTACAGGTGGCAGCTAGCCCACATGCTAGCCCCACATGCTAGTGAGCTAGCATGTTGCGACGTCACATGCTAGCTGCCACCTGTAGACTGTGGAGCTGGAGTCTCACCTGAGGAGTCGTTACTCTGAAGGAGGCTCTTGTTGTGGGGGTGGCAGGTCGTGGGGAGATGCTGTTCTGAGCCTGAGCCTGAGCCTGAGCTTGAGCTTGAGCCTGAGCCTGAGCCTGAGCCAAAGCCTGCTGAGGAACCATCACCAGCTGGCCCAGCTCCGTGCGCACCAGCACCATCCCTGGAGAATCACAGAGGACTTTAGTAGGAATTTAGTAATATGGATGTGTGACAAATGGGAAATAATACAATGACTACAACAACCAGGCAGGCTGGGAAAAGGACATCTTTTTTTACAATGCAAATTACGATATCCAAAGATTAAAGCGCTCTATAGTCCCATGTCACATTAGTGAAAGGATATCGATGCGTTGCCCGGACCGTGTTGTTAGTTAGTGGATTCTACTGTTCACAGATCATCACGTATCATCGCAGGGGAGGTTTGCATTCTGAAACTCTCGCAGGGTTAAACAGTGATAAAAAAAACTCCACTGTAAATGAAAATATTTTTGACACAAGACGGGAAATCTGTGTTGGGATAATTCCACACAGAACAGCAACAAAAAGAAGCCATTCATTGGATTATGTGAAGTACCCTGTATTAACGGGGGAGTGATCTCATTCAAGAGGCCCTGAACGTCTCTCAGCGGCTGGAAAGTGTCCATTAAAGCCACGCAACAGGACGCACATTCAAGTGCTTAACCACGTCTCCTAAGCACTACTTGAAAAACATGTTTTAACTGCAGTTCAGCCCTTTGCTTTGTGCTACATGACTGTCACCGAGCCGAACCCCCCCCCGGAAACGTGGGCTCCACGAATCCCAAACTAAACGATGAGCTTCTGTTGTTGCAAGTAGACGTGGCGGTTGGAATGTGAGGCATCCGTCCATAGGGACAGTCCCATTGTGTACTATTGGAGCCGGTGTTTGTTTACGCACTTGTTTAGCGTAAAGTTAAAAAAGGGATCGAGGGGGAAAAACTAACCCATCCATTGTCTTGCAGGTATTCAACACCAACTTACAGTAAGGAAACTTTACCTTAGCTGGTCACAGTAAAGGTTTGACCGTCCTTATGAACTCATTTCAAACCACAGATGTGTTTACACTGACCTATTTCTACACTTTCTTTTTGTTAGTTATCTTTTAAACCAAAATCCTTCTGTATACTGTTGCTGGAGATGCTACAAGGAAAAAAGGCGTGAAACGCTGACAGTCCTGAGAGAGCAGCGGCCGGTGTACACTTTGTTAACTGTGTGTGGTTTGTGCAAACTCCTCTCAGTGAGCTCCTGAAATCATTATTAGCCTTAAACACATCGGCTGAATTACAACAGATGCGTTCGATTTGACAGTTTCAATGCAAACTTTCTGCACGTTTTGTCTTGTTTCTCACCATTCCTTTGTTATATCAATGTGGTGTCACCCCATCCGCCTTCCCTATATGCTAAAACCCCCACAGCGTGTTTCCACATTACAAGAACAGACTCCGTCCTTAAGCACCTGCACACTTCACAGGACAACTTGGAAAGCACATTGACAGACACGGTAGGACAACCGAAGCCCCCCCCACACACACACACACAACCCTTACCCGGTGGGATGGTGAACCCGGGGGGCAGCTGAATGGTCGTCGGCTGCTGCGGCGGTCGGACGATCACCTGCGGGGCCGCGATCCTCTGAGGTGCCGCCAGTCCCGGACGGGGCTGAACCTGCGCGGCGGGGGTCGGTGAGGGCAGACTGGGCCGGACCATGCTCACAGCGGTGGCCACCGACGTGACCTGACCCGTGACGCCCGCGGCGGGCCGGGTCACCGCCGCGGGCGGTGCGGCCGGTGCGGCCGCTGCTGCTGCTGCTGCTGCTGTTGTGGCGGCGGTTGTCGTGACAACAGCGGAGACGGCGCTTATTGCGGAGTTGACACCACCAAGCTGGCCCGGCGGCGCAGTCTTGGCCTGACAGTCGTCGGCGCTGTGGTTCCCCTGCGAAGCCGACGGGGAGGCGGCGGGTCCTGCGCGGGCGCCCTGCTGGGCCAAGGCCGACACGCTGGTCCCGCTGCCGGTCTGGGCTATGCTGGCCACGATGTGGCTGGGGAGTCTGCGCAGCGCGATGGTGGGAGTCCCCCGGTCCAGAGCGATCGCCGACTGGCCCGCGGGCAGGTCAGCCTTGGAGAGGGTGAACGTCGACGCGTTGATGGAGGACGTGGTCGCCGGCCGAGTGGAGTTCGGCGTGGCCGGGTCTCCGGTCTCCGCGGGGCTCGCGTCCTCCGCCGCGGTGCCGCTGCTCCTCCTGGTCGCCACAGCCGCGCCGTTCAAACTCTTCGCCCGAGTTGACGCGCTCCTCCGCGGCGCGCCTATGCGTTTCCTCGGCGGGTCGGATTCCTCCGGCGAGGACCCGCACGACCCAGGGCTCATCTTGGACCCCCGCGCGGACGCGGCGCTGATGCTGTCCGGCGCGGACGCCAAACTTGACGCGCCGGACGCCGTCGGTGTTGTGATGGATGCTCCATGTGACCGCGAGCCGCTGGTGCTAGTGGCTCCCGCGCGGGCAGCGGAGGCGGCGGGCGGCTCGCCGGGATGACGGGTAGAGTCCGGAGAAGGGGACTCGGCAGCGGCGTCCGGGCTGGCGTCCTTTGAGTTGATCTCCAGGGGGACCTCGGGTTTATTTCGCCGTCCTTGTTGTTGTTGTTCTAGTGTTGTTGTGCCCACTGGAGCTGGTAGCGTTTTTCCCAAGTGATGGTTAGCAGGGGCCACCGAGCCCGCGCCTCCGTTTTCGTCTGTTTTGCCCGCCAGGCTGCTTTGGCCGGCGAGCTGTGACTCCAGTGAGCCCACCAGGTCGCTCACAGCTTTTTCGTCCACCTCTGAAAACAGCATCTCTTCCAGGGGGTCGGAGGCGCCCGCCATCTCTGATCACAGATAGCTGTCTTATATTTTTTTCCCCTTTACAGTGCGCCTGCGTGTTACTAGGCATTGTGGGAATGAATCTGACGTCATTAGAGGAGGGGGGCTTCCTAGTTGTATTTTTTTTATGATTTTTCCTCAAGTGTAATTTAATGATGAACTATTTCGACGAGGTGTCCTAGTAGAGTTGAGTTTAAGTGTCATGCTATTGTACGTGGCACGTGTGGTTTACTCTCCCGCGGGTTTATAGTTACAGGGTGAAATGATATCTGGCGTGTCAAAAACAAATAGTATATATACATTTTACGCTTTTAAAATTGTGTTTCTGGCAATATGGGGGTAGGGTGGAGAGCAGCCGTCCCGTATAATCTCGCGATATCATAGAATGGCCGCATCTCAAATATATGTCATGCGCCCTATGATAATTTGACAAAATGTCTTTGCTAAAAAAAAAAAATCATAAACGGGACAATAACAGCACACACAATTGTGTTGTTGTGGAGTTCCCGCTTGTTCTCGTTAAATCACTCCCTAACGTTCACCAGGAACGGGCAACGGCGGGAGGAAGAGGAGACGAGTGCATGACAATGAGACGCAGCCCTTCTCCCAGCATCCTTAGCGGTGGACGAAGGAAAAAGTAAACGGCCATGTCGTGGTAGAAGTCAGTCCAGCAACGAGCGAGGCTTTCTCACGGCATTCATAATTATTCAGTGGCACGTAGTCTTGGAACTACGGCTCTGAAAGAAACACTTCTCACCTTTCGTTTGACATTTAACAATTCCGTTTGACGTCGCGTGTCTTTAGAGCCCGAGGGCAAACATGAGTGGAGGAGGGACGCCGTACATCGGCAGCAAAATTAGCCTAATCTCCAAGGCCGGGATTCGCTATGAAGGAATTCTGTACACCATTGACACTGAAAACTCGACAGTAGCTCTCGCCAAAGGTACGTGACGTAACCAGGGGGCGAACAGCGGCTCTCTGCGGTCTTTATCAAAGCTCACGAAAGTGTCGAACGACAGCAAGCGGACGTTGGTTTCCGCGCAGTTAGCCGTGTTAGCTTACGTTAGCTTTGTAGCCCACGGAAGGCTAAAAGTGGCGCTGCAGTTAACGCTGCGCGTCCTTTGTTTACCTTGTGTTTCGGGTTACCGTCAATTATCGGTCCGTTATAGCTGAGCAAAAACCCGCATACCGCGTAATAGAGAAATAGAAAGCCCTGTTCCAATCAATAATCTCTTGCCAACGCGTTGATCGCGGGTTAATAACGTTAGCTTAGCTCTATTAATGTTAAATCTGAGCGTGTGTGAAGTGAACTTGGTGAACGTTGCAGCGACCGCACGTTTCAACTACCGGCCAAGTTATACATGATCATTTAAAAGTAACATAGATTTTATTGTTGGAGGCCTGTGTTCTACGTTACATTGACCAACATTTCTATAATTAACCTTCTATCCTGGCTGTGGCCTAATAATCAACTAAGTCTAATAATTGTATAGATAAAATAATAATAATCCCTTTGTGAATTTCCCCAACAGTTCGGTCTTTCGGCACCGAGGATCGGCCCACCGACCGGCCCGTTCCCCCCCGGGAGGAGGTGTTTGAGTACATCATCTTCAGAGGGAGCGACATAAAGGATCTCACGGTGTGTGAGCCACCCAAAGCCACCAGCTCCCTGCCTCAGGATCCTGCTATAGTTCAAGTAAGTTGATTTATATATGCTAGAAAATGGCTGTTTTTTACCAATGTGTTGCCATCCTGTGAGGTCTAGTCCTTTTTTTATTTTATTTTATATAAGTAATACTGATGTGTGTTTGTGAGGACTCCACAGCAGGATGAGGCGCAGGTGTATCTAATAAGGTTAATGTTCCACATCATTAAGGATTCCCAATAAACCAGCATGCCAAGGATAGAAAATTAGCTCACCTTCACACACTTCAGCTGTTATTAATTAATGTCATTGATTACTACTGCTCTTCTGAGCTCATAATGACCTACAAAGGCATATCAATTGTGATAAACAATATAGCCGGTCACATTTTAGCTCATGAATTGCATTATATAATAATCTAGATTTTGACCGTTTTAAAGTTCTACAACTGAGGCATGTTTCTGTTGGTCCGAAGATGTATAAATTGATATTGAACACATGACTTCAACACTTGATTATGCAGAATAGTGAAATCTTTGCTGGGACCAAAGTTCTATCATGATGTGGTTGGAAATTACGCCTTCACATCGTAGGTAGATATTGTCATTTTCACTTCAGGTATTTGACAGGTTGGTTACTAGTGGGCTACTTCAGATGTAATATAAAAAAGTCCACTAATACAATAAGATAATTAAGACTGACAGGTGCTGTCCCTGACAGTCGGCGTTGTCATGGTTATTCAGCGGTGTGTTTTTGTCTTCCCAGTCATCACTTGGATCCAGCAATGCTTCAGCCGGGCCGTCATTCCAGCCGCCTGGGTCCTACGCAGCGATCAGCAAGGCCTCCGTTCCGCCATACAGCCAGTTTGGTGTCGCGCCCCTTGCAGCTCAGCAGTTTGGTTCCACCGGAGCCGGAGGTAAGCAGCGGTCCTTGTTCCCCTGTGGATTCACAACTATTTTGATGCATTGACCTGGCATTTGTGTTGTTAATGATTACAGGTGTGTCCCCAAACCGACCCCATCAACCACATCAAACTCCACCGCGCCTCCTTTTACAGCAATCTAAGGTCGTTTGGATCTCACGCTGCCATTTTTTCCCCGCAGGGCGCATCAGTCCCCAGCTGGACTCGATAACGAAACGTCCCTCCCTGGAGCAGACGGTGAAGGCCCCACCATCAGCTACCGCTGCACCGCTTCCCCCTGTAGGGCAGAGGGGTCAGTCAGTGCCGGCGGCTACCAGACCCACCGCCCCCTCCGCTGGCAACCAGAGGCCCCCCGACCTCCTGGAGCAGAGAAGGGGTAAAGACCGTTCAAAGCTTTGCATGCTTGATTTTCAACATTGATAAAACGTTTAAACGTTGTGTTCAAGTGTGCATATTGAGCACTTTAGTTACGGCCGGACCGCGTTGCCTTAAGTTGATGTCTTCTGCTGTTTAGCTCCAGAGGTCCAGAAGGTGTTGCAGCCAGAACACGAACACAGCGCGCTTGAAAACCGAGATCCCAACAAGCGCCACGCCGGTAAGTAGTTTACACCTGTTAACACTCTTACAGCAACTAAACAATTTGCTTACATTAGTAGTACAAGTCAGCGATTGAATCTGCGTCTCCATTGTTCATAGGGAATGTTTTGTCAGCTCCGGCTCAGCTGTGTCCTTGTTGAGGCTCCCTGTCTTGTACGCTGCACATCTTTGAATCTCAAATACATTGTTTTTTCATTTTTTAAAATGATGCTGTGAAATAAAGCTTGTGGAGCACTGACGCAATATGTTTGACTGGTTTTCCATATATTAATGTATATGGATGTTTTTTGGGTGGTGGGTTTAGTTCATTTGACAGCCGGCACTCAGCCCCCACGCCGTGGCCGCGGGAGAGGAAACCGCAGCAGAGGCAAACTCAACATGCGCAGGGACGGCGTCATGACCTTCGAAGAAGACTTTGACTTTGAGACGGCCAATGCCCAGTTCAACAAAGATGAGATCGACAAAGAGCTCCAGAACAAGCTCAAGCTGAAAGGTGCGGCTTCGCTCGGATGTTTACTCATTTGTTTTGTCCACTGAGATCTGGACACTCAGTCAAAATTTCTTCCAATTACAGACGACAAGATTGAAAAGGCGGTAAATGGAGAAGAAGCAGCAGAGTCTGAACATCCAGCTAACGAGGGCACCACCAGCAGCAGCACCGCCCCAGTCACCACCACCACCAACGAGGAGGAGGAGGCCGCTATAAGCACCTACTATGACAAGACCAAGTCCTTCTTTGACAACCTGTCCGCTGATGATTTGAGGTACTTCTATAAGTTGAAAATGTCATTCTGTAATAGAACTGTGGCTGAGACTCATGGTCACAATTCTTTTAAATGAGTTTTGTCAATTAATTGAGAAAACACACAGCCTGCATTCAGATGCTCTTCTTTAGAACAAGCATCAGGATTTGTGTACTGTTATGTCACTAATTAGTATTTAGATATATATCTCACAATTCTAAATGTTTCTCTGGTTGTCAATGGCATCAGCTGACAGGAAGTAAACCTAAGCTGTTGCCTAGCAACTCCAAAACCTGCTGAAGTGGAGTTTCAGACAGTGAATTAAGACTATTTGGACAGAAAATGTGAAAAGAATGAAGCGTTTTAAACGCTACAGCCTGTAAATGCTTTCTCCTAAAAACAGAAAATGCGTAAAAATCTTGACGTGCGTGTGAATGTTTTTTCTTCTAGATCACTTAAACATGAATTTGCCAATGTATTAATCATTTATTTGATCTTTCAGTAAAGGGGGTGAAAGAGGATTTTCAAGGTAAGTCAATTTTTAAATCATCATGAAGTTATGAACCAAATAAACACTACAAACATTTGTGATTTTCACTTACCGATGCCAACGAATGTTTTATTGTTTTTCTATTGTGTAATTTTTTACACGTATAGAAGGCAAAATGGTCAGACTGCCCAATCTATGCATCTATTACTACTTTAGTACGCTTAAAGACGAGGCACCAATTTGTGGTTGTCTAAATATAATTGTTTGCGTAATATGCTCAAATGCAGTGCCCCCCTTATATGTCCACACCCGCCCCCCATAATAAAGCCGGGTGCTGATCGACCTCTGTGTTGTCAGGGAGCGGAGGACCACCTGGGCAGAAGAGAGGCGAATGAACTCTGAAACATTTGGCATCCCCTTGAGGCACAACCGAGGAAGAGGAGGTTTTCGCGGCCGGGGCTACATGGGGCCCCGCGGCGGCAGGGGGCGCCCGCTGAGCAGAGGCTCCTTCGCGCCCCCTCGAGGTCCTCCGCCTGGATTCCGAGGCGGCTTCAGAGGCGGCAGGGGCGGCCGGGATTTCTCTGATTTTGAATACAGGGTAAATCCAATTTAAATTGCATTTAGCACGCCAGTTCAAGTGCTGCTATTCCACCATTCAGGAGCCAGGACGGCAGACTGGCTTCTGTCGAGGTCCGATTGGCAGAGCGCAGTGAAACAATGAGGCTGTGACCTTAAACCCTTAGTGAGGGATCGAGTGAATAAGAGTGTATCTGTAACTTTAGAGCATCTCTATTTTTTATTTTTATTTTTTTAAACCTAGTCTTACATGACCCAAGTGAACTGGACTTTTTCACCAATCATTGATGAAGCGTCTTTACAGTCAAACTTCACAACAGCAGTTATTATTCCAGATGAGTTCAGTGTTGATTCGATCAGCAAACCACACCAGTACACAATCTACCACAATCCCTCATTTTGGCCACTAGATGGCCCCGTTCTCTGCTGATGACTTTCATGTTTGCTCCTCAGACCACGAGAGGGGATTAAAGAAACAACTTAATTTATTATCCAGTTTTCCCTCTGGGAAAGATGGACTGCAAACAGCAGTTGTGAACTTCACTTTGAAATGATCATAATGTTGCTTAGATTTGATCTCATTCAGTTTTAATAGTGTAGTCTATTCATCTTTGGATCTTTCAAATACTAAACAATTGCTTTACATGCAGTTACTAGATGTTTATTCCTATTTTTAAATGTAATTGTCCAATTATGAAAGGGTTGACAAACTGAGGAATCATTTGTAATGGAAGAACTGACTGCTCACCACACCGCTGTGTGCTGAATTCGTGATTTGTAATTCCTAGATTACCAGGCTCATTTCTATTAAATACAGGAGTGCAGCATGGAGTTAATGTTTGTTTATTTCCAGAAGGACAACAAGGTGGCTGCATAGTGCTGCCGGCTCCTCGAAGAACCCGACCCCTTCCTCCAGAAATGATCCTCCTGAAGAACTTCTTTGCTCTCGACATTTGACGGATCGAATGAAGAAGTCGTCTGTCACCTGCAGCGGCGCTGCTTTACATCGAGGGGGTGCAGCTCCCTTTTCTCCACTTTTGAGAATTAGGCTTTTTTGTGTGTTGTTGTTATTGTTTTATGGCCCAGACATGTTTGATGTACAGCCACCGGATGGAGGAGGACATTTGTAAATTCCTTACTTGGGAGCGAGTATTTTTGCATCGATCCAGTTAATTTCTTACAAAGATGTATTTGATATTGAAAACCGCCATTTGCGAGAAACCCCACCGATGCTGTGAGCAGGTCATCATCGATCTTTTCTTTTTGTGGCAGCACCAAAATTCAAGGCATTTCCATTCTAACCACATTCTCCTCTGCTCAGACTTACTTAGTTTGGTTGCCACGTGTTCAGTATTTTTTACCCAGAATGCAGGGGAAATTTCAAGTTGCAGGATTTCTTTTCTGACGTCTCTTTATTCTCTAACCAATAGAAACAAAATCTGAACAGAATGGTGTAATATAACGTATATAGGCTTCTACTTGCCCCCTCTCAGTAAATTGTGGCTCATCAGACACTTGCTTTGTTAGTTTTTAGAAGGTTTATTTAGAATCGTGTACATCATACCTAGACCTCTTGCTGCTTCTGATGAATTCTGCTTGTTTTTTTGGCTGGAACTGCTCGCGTGTCCACGGTAGCAGCTTACTGCAGGCGACCAATGACACCTGGCCATCTAATCGCTATTTGGGGTTCACCACATTAACATGTTCGTTTTTTTTTTGTGGACAGGGTTGTTTTTTTACCTAGTTGACTAAACAAAAAGCATTCCCATGATTAGTGTCCGTTCCTATCAAAGCCTGTGGAAGTTCTTAGGAAAAGCCTTCAGTATAAACCTGCAGTCAGAATGACTTCGAACAAGTTTGATTAGCCCCCCCACCCCCCCCCCCCACCAAAAAAATGAGAAATGCTTTGCTATTTTGCCAAAAACACGATGTAGGCGTTTGGTAAAGCTATAACTGGCAGCCTTTATCGTACTTGTTAAATCTGGGGGGTATTTGGCATTAGGAGGGCGATGGACGAAAATGGTCAATTTATCTGCATAATTGAGCGCCTGCTTCTGGTGACCGGCACCCGTTGTTGGGATGACATCACTCAATCGGCAGCATTTTAGTTCTTACTGTTGCGTCAGCTGCATTTTTTTGTCTCTTCAAAACTGCTTGCAGGTTTACTGAAAATGGGGAATTGTGAATGTTATTAATGATGCCTCAAAATAGTACGTTCCACATTCGACCCTGTGGCTTGTTTGTAGCTCATCTTGTTGCATTGTTCTCAATGGAAGGGTTCTCTGGAGTGTTTTTTTTAAGGGACGTGACCTGGATGTGATGCCAGTGGGCTGATTCTTTTTTTTTTTACTTTTTTTTTCGTTGCTCTGATTTGTTTGTACTTTAGGGAGTGCCTTTTTTTCCTTCTCTTTACAGCTCTCCCTTTAACTAAAAGTTGAATAAAGGTTTTTGATAGCACTACGAGGCTGCGGCTTTACAAAACAAAGCAGCCGGGGGAAGTGGATGTTGCACAGGTTGCTGATCTCTGCATGATGAGCCGTAGAAATCATCCCTTTGGCTTTTTTTCCTGCAGTAAAACAGCGGGATTGAATTTTGAGACAAAAAAAAGTATTACTGGACTATTACAAACTGACACATTTTCATGTTTCTCCTTGAAGTCACTGGGTTGTTGACCAGGAATTGTTTTCATGAGAACCGCAGCGAATTGAGTTTTTAAGTAAAATAAAGAGTCGTACAATGTCTTTCTCTCTCTCGTTTTTTAATATGCTTCGCGTATATCTGAGTCGCCGCTTCACATAATCCCTTTATTTATTTGTTTGGAATTTTTTTTTTTTTTTCCCCATTTGGATATGAATCACATATTCAGCGACACAAGATGCCTAAACTGACAAGAACAGAACGCAATATTTTTCTCAAAGTACGCCTCTAGTGTCTGTCGGAGTACGATATATTGCAATTATGTATTTTTGGGGGGGGGGGTGCAATTGATGTCCTGCTGAAAATGCGTTGGAATGGTAAAAATTATAAACATTTGCTCAAAAGACTGAGGACCAACAAGATACTTTTATGGGCGAAAGCATTGAACTGCAGAACCTTCTAGTTATAATGTAACCGAAGGAAGCTTAACTGCATTATCCAGAGAATTCAGGAGGAAGAGATGACTGTTTACAACTACTTTTACTGAATAAATAAAATAGTCAAACTCAGGACTCAATTTCACATTCAATACTGTCGTAGTAGAAATTGGTAGCAAACATTATGAACATTCCTCCAACAGTTTGGATGATAATTGTCATTGTGGGCTCTCGTTTCAGAATTGCCCCCAAGGGGCTTGTATTGGGTGTTGGGGAGGTGCCAAGATGTTGGTATCACAATGGAGAACCATTGTAGAGAAAAAATATATTTCTTAATATTTAAAAGAGAATCCGAGGTAGAATGTTGATAACAGACCTGAGACTATTATGATCGTTTAACAAGGTAAGTAGCTATATGCAAACCAATCTCAAGCATTTTATTTTGTCTATTTTTTTTGTTCGTCTGCAGCAACAAATATTGCCACTGCAAGGAATTGTGGGACAAGTGATCTCCTTTCCTAAGGGATGGTCCAGTAGTTTTTATGCTAAAGGAGCTACGTAAGGAAGCATTTCATCTCCTTAGCATTTAGAGACTTTGAACAGCTCTGATCACGGAGGTCGCTTGCAGTGCTTCCAGGTCATTTCACTCAGGAACCTCCGAACAGGAAGAACTATTCGAATCCAGCACTCGGTCCTTTTACATCGGCATCCTTACCAAGCTTTCTTACTCGGCTCCTTCAGCATAGGAACCACATTATTTTGGTCCACCAGGCTTAACTTCAATGAGGCAGCACACAGTCGAGGACTTGTGTGTATCTCCACACCCGCCTGGCACCTCACACCTTGAGCCGCTACAGAACAGAGTCCATCCCCTACCCCGGGCTCGGGTCCAGAGCCGGGGCTGTGCGTAGGAGGAAGCCCCACCAGATCCAACCGATAGCGCTTCGGCTCCTCCCTCTCCAACGAGAGGTGAAGGACCACATCCAGCATCTGCTGCCCAGGTCTGGTCCGTCTAGACCCCCCACTGTCACTACCACACATGTAGCAGGGCACCCGGCCCCATCGGTTTCCTCCACAGGTGATGAGCCCATGTTTTGTGGTATGATAGACCTCCGTCTAGGCCTAGCTCCAGATGGGGGTCCCGGGCTTCCTTCCTTCCTTGGGTAACGTCTACCCTATTCTGCCTCTTCATAAATTAGCCTGGCCCCTCGCCTGACACCACGTTGCCAAGGTTTACCCTACCAGGAGCCCCAGGCAACACAAACCTCTCCCCGCCGATAAGATGATCAAATATTAAACATGACCGAGAAGCATAAGATCAATTTCATTATTTTTATTAAGGTTTATTGTGTGTAGGCGTGTGTGTAAGTTTGTGCGTGTTGATATGTATGTATAAGTGAATGTATTTTATTAAAATATAAAAAGGCAAACAAGTTTGACAGGGAATGTCATTTAGCTGAGGCTTTAATCCAAAGCGACTTACAATAAGTGCATTTAAACATAAGGATACAAACTCAAAAACAGAAAACAAGAAAGTGCAATTTCATTAAATAACCTGATTTAAAACTTGCTATAGATAACAGCCATTAAGTACAATTTAAGTGCTATAATTTGTTAGTCTTTAGTCGAGGAAGAGTCTGAAGAGGTGTGTCTTTAGTTTGTGGCGGAAGATGTGAAGGCTCTCTGTGGTCCTGGTGTCTTCAGAGAGCTCGTTCCACCATTTCGGCGCAAGGAAAGCAAAGAGTCGAGATCTAGTCGAGTGTTTTGCTCTCAGTGAGGGAGGGACGAGCAGTTTATCAGATGCAGAGCGGAGAGTGCGGGTTGGGATGGAGGGTTTGACCATGTCCTGGATGTAAGCTGGACCCGATCCATTCACAGCGTGGTAGGTGAGCACCAGTGTTTTGAACTGGATGCGGGCAGCCACTAAGGAAAAACAACGTCTTGAAGCAGAGTACTCACGGAGGAAGAACAGTTATAATCTGACAGGGTAGCAGGCACGTTTGGGGATGACAGGGAAACAGCAGGAGTAGAGATTGGATACAGGTGAGATGAATGAGTAATCAGGGAAACCCCAACCTGAGGCTACCGAGGGGTTACAGCCCCCCACAGATCTACAGCCGGCCCCTGATGGCCCAGGGTGGTTTGGGTGCTGGAGGAATGTCCCGATCCCGGTCCTACCCAGAATGTGTATTAGGGGACCCAAGGACGTGCCTCTGGTCCTTAGCCCTCCCAGTCAACCAGGAACTGGCAACCAGGACCCAACCATCAGACGTGTGACGGTGAAGGCTGGTCCGCCGTCAATGACCCGGGGAGTGGGCCGGTCCTTGCTGGCTTCGCCTTGGAACATGGAAGGTTGGAGCTATCTTCATGGTACTGGGGAGCGTCGACCGGACTTAGTGGACAGCCAGACCTTCTGTCCCACACGATAACGAGGAGCAGGGGTGCGGTGTTCGTCGGTTGCCGTATGTCTGAAGTAACGCCACTCGTGCCCTTCGCCGTCGTAAGGTGACACCAGGCGCACCAATGCTCGTGCAGATGGGACTGCAACTTTTCCCAACCAGATCCGAAAGCAGGAGCGGCAGGTACCCGGAGACACAACGGAAGGGAGAGAGTCCCGGTTGTAGCGCTCGGGCCGGCCACTGGTCTCGGAGTGGAACCCGGAAGAGAGGCTGGCTGCATCCCCGATCGGTTGGCTGAAGTCCCTCCGAAAGCCGGCTGTGAACTGGGGCCCTCGGTCTGATCTGATAAGTATTGTTGGACATGAATAAACCCTGTTCTACTTTAAGGAGCCGTGTTCTGTGATGCCGGCTGAGAACACAGCCTGTGTACAAACTGAAACTTTTAATGAGTAAATATCAATTATGAGACTTAATCTATGGTTTGGTCATGTCCCTTTTTAGGGGGGCCACCCCGTTATTTATTTATTTATTTTGTGAATTATCTTAATGATAATTGAGATAATGATCCCCTACACGGTGCCCAACACCGCCGTGGAACCGGAAGGGGATGTAGAGGTCCGGTTGGGCGCTGGCGGGAGGTCTTGTTAGGGGCGAACCAGAGAAGTGGCCACAACTCGGCCGTGTCCTTCTCGAGTGATGCCACCAGAGCCGCCGGCTGAGGAAACTCACCGTCCGCCGGACTGGAAAGGTGGAGGTCATTGAACCCAAAACCACTATCTTACATCAAAGTAGGCTACAGCTCAGATCAAGTTAAAAATAAAAGTTAAGAAAGACATATTTTCATTTTATTCTTATTTTAGGGATCCATTTAACAATTTTGGCAATTGTTTAATGTTAGAATAGGATATTATGTCATTTTGTAAGGAAAATTGGGCTTGACTTAAACATAGCTTTCAAAAATGAATATAATAACTAAATACATAGAGATTAAAATAAAAAGAATAATGATATCATTCTGCGAGCTGGCTCAATGTCACAAAAGTCTAATTCAGATATTCGAATCATTATCAAAGGTGGTTATGTTCAAAAACCTTTAGGCCGGGACGAAGAACTCTGTTATATTATAATAAAGTGGTTTTCAATCCAAGTTGTAACTTCTCCTAAAACCCAATGCTGTAAGTATTATTATGTGTTATAGCCACATGTCACACACTTCTCTCGGGATCGCGAGACTTCACTGTGACGTCAACGTTCCTTATTCTTTCCCTGCACTTTATTTTTTAAAACATTTTTAACATTGTAACTTTTATTGCTTTTATTTTTAAACTAACCCATCGCCTTATGTTACTAACCTATAGCATTATATTTTATTTTATTCCTCTTGCACTGTTGTCTTGTCGTCCAGTGTCGTACTGTCTGCTGTTATGCACCAACCACCAAGTCAAAAGCCTTGTATGTCTGACATATTATGGCAATAAATGTTTCCTGATTTCTGATATCAAATAATCAGTGCTCTCCTTCCAGAGATGATCACAGCATCAACATCAGCCAACATGTGGTTTATGGAATAAAGTTCAGAAGGACGTACAAGTGTACTGCAGCTTTTTTGGGGTCAAATAAACCAATAAAAAAACCAATAAATGTTAGATTTAAACCATAGCGTGGGTAGGGGTAGTACATGCGTCAATGCAACTATAGTTATTTTTATTAATCACATGTGATGCATCACTTTGTTGGTAAACGTTCACCTTGTGTAACACACTCACACGTGGGCGATGTTGTCTTTTTGCGAGGGGGAGTAGAGCCAACACGTGTGTGTGTTTTTCCTTTTCGTAATTGAAAACGTAGCGCCGTACAGCCGATTAAAGGATATGCGAGGAAAATAAATATCAAATTGACGTTTGTCACCGTAGCTTTTATTTCGTTGACCGGAAATGTGAGTTTTCCTGTTCGTGGCGGCGTTGCGCTCCTCACAGGTACCTTACTCCAACTTAGGCCATTCCCGGTGACGCTTACACCTCAATTCGGTCGTAAGAGGAAAACCCCTCTCGGCGGCCCGGTTTTCCGCGTTTTTTTTTTTCTTTCGTTGTTAATTATTTATTTCCGTGTAAACTGCAGTCTTGATTTAAAAAAACACCGATGGTCGATAATTCAGCCCCGCGCTGAGGTGGAGAAACGGCTCAGGATCGCAAAGTCACGTCGGACCCTTCGTGTTTACCCTCGGCGACATGGCTCGACCACGGCCGCGGGAGTACAAGGCGGGAGACCTGGTCTTCGCTAAGATGAAGGGGTACCCGCACTGGCCGGCCAGGGTGAGTGGAGGCTGCGGCCGGGCTGCGAGCGGGGGGGAGGCGGGGTTGATTTACGCCACACGGCCGGTACCGGGAGAGGGGACGCTGCGGGGCGGACTCCTCTGCTGCATCCCCTCGTTATGTTACGAATAACAGAATATAATAAGACAGTGCATTTTTCTTTATTTTAAAACGATTAATAAAAAGGTCCGATGGGGGCTGCGCGCTCTCGATCCGTTTCCCGCTCCTCGCGCACCTCGTTTGAGTTGAAGCGCAATTTCACGCCCCCGTTATTCATTTCCACTCGTTAGTTCAACATGTGTTGTTTGCTCCCAACGTTATTATACATCCGCGGAGGAGCCCGTGGCGCCTCCGTGTCAGCGCGGCCGTCTCACCTGCTGGAAACGACCCGCCGATTGGAAGGCGCGCGTGGGGTCACCGTGGCGCGGGCGCTCGGCGGGTTCCCCGCGCGGCTCCATTTTTAATCTCTCGGAACAAATTACGCGCAGCATCTTGGTACCGCTGACTTATTCTAGCAGCTTGTATTGCACGTGTGAGCGGGACAGAAGCCCGCGGTCATACATCTGTGGTTCATGTCATTTAAGGGTCCCATGATGGACTTTAACATCCAGGACTGGACAACTCTGAAATCTATGAATATATAAATGATGTAACAGTCACAGCGTCTCCCTCCCTGTCTTTCAGATTGATGAGCTTCCAGAAGGAGCTGTCAAACCGCCCGCCAACAAGTACCCCATCTTCTTCTTCGGGACCCATGAGACGTAGGCACCATATTGGAATTCTTAATAGACTTTGACCAGGCTGCCACATGAATAGCAAAAGTAAACTTATGTGCGATAAGGCTGACTTGTGGAACCTCGTGCTTTTTTCCCGACTGTTGTTGAAATAGTAATAGCTGTCTCTTCCCCGCTTGTTTAGCGCGTTTCTGGGCCCAAAGGATCTTCTGCCTTACAAGGAGTACAAAGACAAATTTGGCAAGTCCAACAAGAGGAAAGGCTTCAACGAGGGCCTGTGGGAGATCGAGAACAACCCTGGCGTCAAGTTCACAGGCTATCAGGTCAGGCGGTGGTCTCAGTGGGAGGGAAACACAAAGGGGGGGTAGGGGGGGGCACAGAAGCCCGAGAGGTTTGAATTCCGTCAAAGCCACATTGTTAACCATCGACAGCAGAGGGAGTCTCGGCGAGAAAGAAGCATTCATTTGTCTTGACTCGGAAGCGGCCATTTCTGCTTTCAGTTTTGCGGCAACGAAAACAACCCGCGGGCCTCTTTTCGCACACACAGGCCATCCAGCAGCAGAGTTTGTCGGAAACGGAGGAGGGGGGGGACGCCGCCGACGGCAGCAGCGAGGGCGAGGAGGCGGACTCCGTCGAGGACGAAGACGATCAGGAAAAGCTGAAGGGGGACAAGGCGGCATCCAAGAGGAAAAAGACAGCCACCTCCAAGGTAGCTCGCCTCAGCTGGTGAACACATCGTACCGGGGGCAGGCGGGGGTCACCCGCTCTGTGGCGTTTGCGGCAGTTTGACCGGTAGCATTGTTACATTATTTGTATGTAACAAAGTGGACATGAGTCCAAGGCCTCAACCTCTAGTTTCAAGTCTTCAATAAAGCATGATGTTCATTTTGAAGATGCCCATAGTGTCAAGTAGACCATGAAGCAGAGCATGCTTTAGGGCGGGGCTTGCTGTGATTGGAGGGGTCTCTGGCAGAGACGTATTCTACATCGGCTATATGGAACTCCTCCGCGGGAAATGGGCGTAAAACATGCGCAGACAGGTTGCTGTCGGCCCTGCCATCTCTAGAGGTCTCAGTGCTCCTCAAAACAAACCAGTTAACACCGTCGTCTTCTGACCACCCGTGAGGACAAACGGGCTCATGCCTGTTCCGGACGACTCGAATGTGGGATGATAAACCCGCCATCAGCGTTGCGGCCGTCCTGTTTCTTCAGTACCACGAACAACACGCGCGGTTCATTTTGAAAGCAAATGTGGTTTACAAGCACATCTCCAGCAAGCAGATTATTTCCTCTCTGTTTGAGAAATGTTGGTCTTTTCGTGGGATTTGTTGGCAGTAAGTTTACCAGCTTTCTCCTCCAACATATATCTGGTGCATATTGTATCGGGATACTAAGCTGTTCCTGGACACCAAACTCAAAAGCCTGGAGTCTTTCAGTTAAGGGTTTCTTCAAAATAGAACCGCCTGGCTGATTCCTTTAGCTTTATTTTCATGATGAAATCGACACCAGCTTCACTGTGTGCCATTTCTCCACATTACATTCATCCAAACACTATTTTGACCTTTGTTCCCTAGGTTCTCATTGTCTTCATTACGCTGTTATCTTTATTTTGAAAAGAACAAGGAGAAATAGGAAAGCTTCAGGCTTTGAAGGGAGTGTTGCAGGCAACTCCCACTGTGTGATACTGTATTACTGTATTAGCACAGAGGCCGCTGCTGCTGCAAATGGAAGCAGGTTGAAAAAGTCACGTGCATCCTGCTCCTCACTTAGCAACCGCTGTTGCCTAGCAACTGGGCTCTATTACGCACGGCACATGTGGTGCATCCAAAGGAATTTGGGCACTCTTCTGGAGCGGTTTGCCGTGTCTGTCACATCATTGAAACACTGCGTTTGTGTGTATGTGTGTAGTTGTGTGGCTCCACAAAGGACCTGGAATCTCCTCAGCTGAGGACAGATTGTGATTTTTGTCTGATCGGATGGCGCAGGGAAGGAATAATCATTTGGTTGTTTTCAAACCTAAAATGTACATTAACACATGTTGAAATGCTCACATTGGGCTCATTCCGCTGTGCCTTGAAGCTTCACTGGCTACGGAGAACGAGCCGGCAGCAGGCTGGTGGGCAGCAGCAGCGTTGGGTCTACCAGGCCTCTCTGCGCCGCCACTCCTAGAACACGCTAACTAGCAGGCGACGACCCTCCACTACCCCACAAACAGTCACCTCTAATGGCCACGGAAAACATGCTATGCTATTCCCATCAGGGTAACGTTCACGGCACTGTGAAGAAACGGACTCTCCTACAGTCAAACCAGAAAAGGGTCCAGCAGTTAGTCGTCGCCCTTTCTTCTCTGGTAAAACCAAAACATTCTGAAAACACAAACCATGAAGCAAAGTACTGTAGGTGTAAATGTAGGTGTAGATGGATATACGATAGATGGATGAATGATAGCTAGCGGGGGGGGTAGATACATAGATAGCTGGGTCCATGGATTGATAGAGGGATGTCATATGTAAGTAGGTAGATGGACTGATTGATTGATTCCACTCTGATTGCTTATCTTCCGGAAGTGGCTGCGTACAGATTTCATAAGAACCTCCATCACAAACAAGCTGTGTCCAGGGTGTATTGTGGGTCTCCTCTCAGTACACCGCGCAGGGGGGGTGTCGCCTCCTCTGATTAAACCAAACTATCGCTACAAAGCACGACTCCCTGAGAATTCCAACCCACATTTCCCCATCTGTGTGTCCGCAGCAGAAATCCTCCAAGCTGTCGAGGATCTCATCCGTAGAGGACGACCTGGAGAAGGATGGGAAAGATGACGACCAGAAGAGCGTCTCCGAGGGAGGAGACCCCAACAACGACATCATCCCAAATGCCACTGAGAGTAAGGTGGGATTGAGCACTCTGATCATTCATTAATCACAATTCACAAATTGTAAGGGGCTCTCATATTACTTTGACCTAAATGTATTCCTTTTTCCTTCCACTTTCCCCAAAAATTACTCAGGGAATAATATTCACCGCATGATGATTTTTTTTTTGCTTCCTGTTTAAAGGCTTTTTATTCTTTCATCTGGTTTTAGAGCTTTTAGCCAAAGTGTCAACTGCTTCTCGTCCCTCCTGGTGGAGGCAAATCATCGGGAGTCGCCACCAGACAATGATCCAAACAACCCTCTTTCTTTTTTCTCCCTTCTGAGATCTTTTTTTAATGTATTTTTAAATCTAAATCTTGCATGGACTCAGCAAAATAAACCACCGTTGATCAGACACATTCCAAATGTTTTTCCTTCAGTGGTTCTATTGACTGTGCGGCCGCATCGGAGCCCCTAGAGGTGAAAACCTCTGAACCTTTAAGAAATGAGTATTAAATGGAGTAGAAAGCAAGTTTGTCTCTCCGCCCTAAACTGTATATTCCGTCACATTATATCACTGCAAGGGGGCGAAAAAAGCCCATTTACGGGCTTATCTATTGAATTCATATTTAAACTTTTTAAACTAACAGCGATGCTCACAGTACCCGTGTCTCTGTATTAATGTGTCCTCCAGAACCAGCTGCTCATAGAGGAACATTAAGAGAAGAAAGCATGAAATCATTCCACGCAGCCGCGATGCTGGGACACTTCCCATCAGCACCACCCGCCGGCCGCCATTGCCACATCCACTTCTCCGTCAGACTTCCAGTATGTTTTCCGTGTGAAAGACGCGCCCACGTTGATGCCGGCGTCGTGGTGGTCACCGCGTGGACGACGGGGCGTAGGCGCTGACGCTCGATGCCACGGGTCGTGTCAGGAGCGTCGTCATCGTGAGCGCTCCCAAACAGACAGCTTAACATTTGTGTTTTCTCTTTCATCCAGTGACACTGGATGCTTGTAGGTTTGTATCGTGAAATAAACGTGCAGTTTAGGATATTTAAAGGGGCATTAAGTACTTGACTGGACTCCCTTTGTCCTTTTCAATAAGTGCAAGAGTCGACATTCATTTGCTGCTGTACGTGTACACTGGTTTCTGATCATCAGGGGCAACTTCATTACACTCCTGTCATGTAGCCTTTGCCAAGTCACGATGCATATTTTCACAACGGCACGATAATTTAACACATTTGACAGCGTGACCATCCGAGTTTAAAGGCTTTAAAGACCCATGAGATGGATTCTCCAAAATATACAAACGTGCAGACTTCACAGCCCCGTCAATCTCTACAGTACTTTACAGCAGATTACTTACTGCCTCTTTAATAGGTGTTGAAAAGTTATATTTGTTCCGAAGGTCATTTTTAACTGTAGTTTGGGAATTAAGTCAAAATGGAAATACAGTACCAGTGCATCTCTACATGTGCGTCACACCTCACTGTCACACTACGGCCAGATGAAACGCTGTGCAAGAGTGGCCTGTACTTCATAATCATTCATAGTGTAAGTATCCATCAATCCGTGTTAACACTGGCCTTTGCACACCTGTACATCTGTATTGCATCACTCACAAGCGTCTGTCACTGTACAAATGCATTTGATGGGAGCTCCATTAATGTGTGTGTGTATATATATATACATACATACTCTGCCATCTATAATATATGTTGAGTATTGCATTGTATCGATCCGTAGCTGTAGCTTGAAATTACTTTTTTACAAGGGTTAATTAAGGGACGGACTTGCGGAATATTGAGTAATTTTTAAGCGTTCTCCATCATCATATATGTTACTCTTTTATGTAACCAAGAAAAAAAGACGATTGGAAATACATAGATATGTGTATGAAGTGTTGTGCACAGCTGGGTTACACATTGTAACTCTCAAATGAACTATAACAGTATATTTTACTCTTGTTGTAGAATATAGGACCAGTATTCTACTTGGACTGCTCTAGGTCTCATCCTTTTATGGAAACGTGATACATCTGTGTACGTGTGAAATAGTTCACTGTATGTTTTTTTTATAGTGGCATGCTCTACTGTTGTACTCCAGCTCACTCTTAGATTAAAAAGTGTCCATTGGTTCGTAGATATTTGTTGGTGTGCGGCGTGTGGTGGTGGGGGGGGGGGTACACATTACACTTTGTTTCTGTTGCCATGTCTGCACGCCTGAAACCTGACAGTAAACTGAACTATGTGAGGAAACTCAGAGCTTTGAACATGTTTGACACTCAGTCACTGTACAGTGACATACAGTGTGACAATGCAGTTTAAATTCTCAAACTGTTGATAATTTACTTACAATTAAAGATAACACCAGGCTACACGGTCTTTTAACTCTGTGCCAGTTGTTTTTACTTTACTTCCACTATTGTTGTCATGTAATATAGACCGTTTTCTTATCATACATGCCTTGTTCATGTGAAATCATGCTTTCAAAAGAAATTCATTTATCCTTCATAAATATCCTTCAAATCTTTGTTATGCTCGTATTTGGAACATGTTTTGCATTTTCAAGGATTGTAATTTACTGTAAACTGTTTTTTGCTGTTTATGAAAGATACTTTTACAAAATAAACTCATGGGAATGCAGAGTGGGACTTTAATACTCATTACATATCGTGAAAAGAAAATGTAATACGGTAGCTTCCAGCTAACATGCTAACATTAGCTAGCTAAACCAATTGACTTATCATAACAATGACGTCCATTTTTAACAAACATTCGCATAGCAGAGGTTGTTCTTCCTGAGGCAGCTGAAGAAATTCAACCTGCCAAAGACGATGATGGTCCACTTCTACACGGCCATCATCAAGTCCATCCTCTGCTCCTCCATCACCGTCTGGTACGCTGCAGCCACAGCCAAGGACAAGGGCAGGCTGCAGCGTGTCCTCCGCTCTGCAGAGAGGGCGATCGGCTGCAATCTGCCGTCCCTGCAGGACTTGTTCGCTTCCAGGTCTCTGAAGCAGCTAAAAAGATGGTAGCCGACCCCTCTTACCCTGGACAAAAACTGTTTGTGCCCCTTCCATCTGGCAGAAGGCTGAGGTCCATCAGGACTAAGACCTCCCGCCACACCAACAGTTTCTTCCCGTCGGGGTCGGGCTCATGAACAGAACCCGGTCCCCCACTGACTGACTCTGACATTCCACCGGTCACTCCCCTTCACACTGCACATGTCACTTTAACTGTCATTTCTCACTCGTCACTTTGTCACTTGTTCGATAGTGCACTTAATTTTTTTTAATTTTTAAAACTTTTTAAATATTTTTAATTTTTAACTTTAACTTTATTCTCTTATTTTATACTAACCCATTGCATTAGCATTTCATTTCATTTTATTAATTGTGCACTGCTGTCTTGTTGTCTATTGTTACACTGTCTACTGTCACGCACCAACCGCCAAGACAAATTGCTTGTATGTATGACATATTTTGGCATACATTTTCCTGATTCCTGATTTCCATAGACTCTATGGGAATGTTTGCATGTAAGCCTCTATGCCATAGAGGCTTACATGTATTTTGCCGTGCACATTATATAGCTTAATGCATCTCAATGTTATTCCATTTGGCCATTATAGCTAACTACAGTATGATACAACCTTACAACGTTAATATCTATGCAATGACTCCTTTTAATTTGCACATTTGCTTTACTGCCCGTGTATTTCTATGGATTTTTGTCAAAAGTTTTTATGGGCCTAAAAAAATATTTTTGACATGCCAGCAAAACATAAACATACGTTTAATCGACTAAAGACAAGTCAAAGGAAAAGGAAGGAAGTCAACGAGCCCATTCTTCACTAGGCCGTTATTGCTCTTTCGAGATGTAGCAGTTAACTGCCATTTGCTGTGCGTGCTCATGAAGAAAACACATCATCCCAGAACATCACATCTGCGCAGTCACTTCTCCCAATGCGCACTTGCGCAGGCCGTGCGCAACGTTGTCTCTCTTTGGTACGCATGGACTGACGCATGCGCAATACGCGTTGAGCAATTCGGCGCTGAAAAGGAAGAAGCCTACTTTTGTAGTGATACGAGCGGAGCGGCGCGAGCGAGGGGAACCGCGGTATTCATTAAAAACAGCGTGTAACGAGTTACTTTGCTTTTGAGCACCGTGACTAAGCGGAGAGTTTGCGCCATGGCTGACAAGGAGGGTACGTTTATCACAAGAACTTATAGTGTAACGTGGTGGCCCTCGTGCGCGGCTTTGTGTGCGCGCCACGGCCGTTTAACTGTGAGACGGGCGCTAGCTTGACATGCTAACCGGTAGCGCCCACGGGAGTCCTGCGAGAGGGGTTGTTGCTTTCAGCCCGTCTGCGTGCTGCTGTCGTTGTGTTTTTTTCCACGCTTTGTTATAAACACGCTATGTCAAACCTCTCCTATTTAAATGCAGTTATTATTTACACTCAGTGCAATACAATACATTTAACAACTAAGTTAACGTTAATTAAACTTGTTCGGGACGCTGTCAGGATGAAACACGCCGAGACGTTAATGGTGGCTAGCGAGCTTTAAACCAGTTGTGATTCTAGTGCTTAATAACACATAATACGCTACCAGCTGCACGTATAAACAGTTCAATATGACATTGTGACTTATCAACTCTCCCATGGTCGATCCGACCATATCTACTGACGCCGTAGCTGCTGCTGCTTGCTCACGTGTAACTTATCCCATGTTGTTTTTTTGAAGTGTACGATGATGCGGTGGAAGAAAGAGTCATCAATGAGGAGTACAAGATTTGGAAGAAAAACACCCCGTTCCTGTATGATCTGGTGATGACTCACGCGCTGGAGTGGCCCAGCCTCACCGTCCAGTGGCTTCCAGATGTCAACAGGTATTTTACACCCATCTCCCTGCTCGCACGGTGTGGTGCTGTTTATTGTCCTCCGGAGGCAGACCCCTGTCCTCTGCCTGACACTCAACCAGCTTTTGGTGGGTGTCTTGCTGGAGATTTTCCGTTAACATCAAAGGGGCTGGATGGGCCGGCTTCTGGCTCTGGATCTGGACCGCGGTCCGCCAGTAAGTGACCTGTGGTATAAATTGAAAATCCTGTCCATTTCGTGGACCCCTGCAGGCCAGAGGGGAAGGACTATGCCGTTCACAGGCTGGTTTTGGGGACCCATACGTCAGATGAGCAGAACCACCTTGTGATCGCCAGCGTCCAGGTACCGAATGATGACGCCCAGTTTGATGCCTCGCACTACGACAGCGAGAAAGGAGGTAAATAAACCAGCAGTTATTCTGCAGGAGTACCACGGTAGAATACTTCACCCTACTATGAATTGGTTAATTGGTTCTCACTGACCCGTATATGTATTTACACCCTCGTCAGACATTTCATGTGTGGAGGAAATTGATTAAAGATCCCATCTTGATGCTGAAACTGTTTTATTGTGTCTTCCAGCAGGTACGTTGTCCAGCTGTGTTGAAGGTTGACTGCTCCTGTGGTGTGTTGCCAGAGGTAGTAATGCTGTGTTAGTGTGGCCACAGAAAAATCACTTTGAGGTAGAGTCCAAGTATAAATCTTACCACACTGGAAACCAGGCATACTAAGGGTTGGTATAATAGTTTACTACATATTTGTCTGAGTTCTTGAGTCCTGCTCTTAAATTGTGCTTGAGTACAGCTCAGTGTTTCCCCAACCATTGTATTAGAGGGGCAGGGCGCAATATTATAAAGTTTATTTTTCTAATGCACAAACAGACAGTCCCAAAAATGAATGATATTTAACCATTGTCTGACGAAAACAGTGATTTAAACATTTACTTTTTATTTGCCGTTCTCTGCTGCCTTCTTGTTGCCATGTGTTTATATTGGACACTCCGTTTCCTCACGTGCTCACATTGGATGCTGCTCTTCTCGCTACTACACAGTAAAGCCAAACATGAGTTACATTAATTGCTCTTACTGTGAAAATATATTCAGGCACCAACAATAGAAATAGAGAAGCGTAGGTGAGACGTAAACAAACCAGCTTTCAAAACCAGGTTTACGTCAAGACGAGGCTCATTTCTCATTCACCAGCCACAAATGTTCTGCTTTCCTGGTAAAATGGACTAACCAGCCAACTGAGGTTCAACCTCCTGTTGTAACGTGTCCATCCCTTAACGTCAAAGTACCAGTCTGGTTCTCTTCTCCCCTCAGAGTTTGGTGGATTTGGTTCCGTAAGCGGGAAGATTGAGATCGAGATCAAGATCAATCACGAGGGAGAGGTCAACCGAGCTCGGTACATGCCACAGAACCACTGCATCATTGCCACCAAGACTCCCACCTCTGACGTGCTGGTCTTTGACTACACTAAGCACCCTTCAAAGCCAGGTTCGATCACTACATGCATCCGAGTGCACGCCGCTCGTGTCACCCGTCATGGCGCGTGAACGCAGTGTTGATGTGTTTCAGACCCCAGCGGGGAGTGTAGTCCTGACCTACGGCTGAAAGGCCACCAGAAAGAAGGCTACGGCCTCTCCTGGAATCCCAACCTCAGCGGCAACCTCCTCAGCGCCTCCGACGACCACGTAAGTGACTACAGGTAAAGGCCAACGGGGCCTTCGTTTAGCTTCACAGGAGGATGTGCCACAAACGGGTTCTTTCACACGGTGAGCAGAGGAAGTACAGGGTTTTTACACATACAATGGACAGGCGCTAATGCAGTAGTTCCCAAACCTTTATTGTCAAGCCCCTTCGATGATGTCAGACCATTAAAGCTTGAAGGCATTGAATTTGCGCTTTACACCAGTCACAAGTCTGTCCATCTGGACTCAGCGCTACACTATACATCTTACTATACGAAATGTAAGTACCCTAGTAAAGTTCTTCTTTCTCCTTAGACCATCTGCCTATGGGACATTGGGGCCGGCCCAAAGGAGGGGAAGATTGTGGATGCCAAGACCATCTTCACGGGCCACACGGCGGTGGTGGAAGACGTCTCCTGGCATCTGCTCCACGAATCGCTGTTCGGCTCAGTGGCCGACGACCAGAAACTCATGATGTGAGTGGCAAACGGGAGACGGGAGATTTCTTTTTAGTTCTAAACAAGTGAAACGCTGACTCTCCTCAACCCTCCACCAGATGGGACACCCGGTCCAACACCACATCCAAAGCCAGCCACGCAGTCGACGCCCACACCGCAGAGGTCAACTGTCTGAGCTTCAACCCGTACAGCGAGTTCATTCTGGCCACCGGTTCTGCTGATAAGGTAGAGCTCAGCAGATGCACTGTGCACGGCGATGGAGCACTCAGGGTGACTTTTTACTACACAGCTTGTTCTGTTTCCCCCAGACTGTCGCATTGTGGGATCTCAGGAACCTCAAACTGAAGCTCCACTCCTTCGAGTCCCACAAGGATGAAATTTTCCAGGTAAACGAATGGAACATCGAAGCCCCCCCATACCACCTTTGTTTTGAATCAGATACATATATATATATATATAAAATATATATACTGTAAAATGTAGTATCTCTTTCTAAAATAAGTACGTATTGCCTCACTTTTCCACTTTAGTTTATTATCTTTATTCTTCTGCTGAAATTGATAAAGTGATTAAATCAACTTAGTTTCTGTGCAAACATATTTTCCTTTTTAATATAATTAAAAATAAATAAACTCAACTTTTAAGTTTGGTCTTGGATGACTCACACCTGTCTATTTAAATATAACCATAATTACAACCATCACACACTATTTGTAATCCATTTTATGGGGAACCACCGTGTAACTGATGTTGAGACTTGCTGTGTGATAAAATATCTGCATCGGCGGTACGGTGTATCATTTAAATACAAAGCTCATGTTAACCCCAAATAGGACTTCATCACTTTTAAGAGAAGCAATGAAACCAGCAGTTGCTGCACCTCGTTGTGCACCAGGCCGAAGTCTATCCGATGAATAACAAACCGTATTCATAATCTTATGTGCTTCTCTAAGCTCATTTGACCTGCTAAAGATTGCTTGCTGCTCATTACTGATATAATGTGAGCACATGACGCTACTACTGACCCAAGGAGAGGTCATTTGGAGTCCATTGTTGCTTTATGACCACGCCCCTGTCTCAAAACCTCAGGTCCAATGGTCCCCTCACAACGAGACCATCCTGGCCTCCAGTGGAACCGACCGGCGCCTCAACGTCTGGGATCTCAGGTAGAAGCCGTGTTCATAATCCATCTGTCTGCTTCAGCCGACACGGACCCCTTTTACATGTTGACCTACGAGCTTCAGACACTACATGAATATATTGATCTTTATTTTGGCAAATATTAGTGCTGTAGTGAAAATAATCTGATATTGTTTGTGTTCCCTTGAACTATTAATTCACTAATTTGTCCATTCAGGGGCAACTGTTTATTAGTTACTATGGTGAACTCGGCAAAACTTTTATTTTGAACAAATCCATCCATCACAGAGCAACATGATTCATTTGGAGTTGTGTTTGAGTTCAGCGGATTAATGTCAGTTCTACATTCACAGCCTTTTAGCCTCTGAGGGAAATATCTGTCCTGTGAGCTGCTAAATGTTCCTCGGGTCTACCAGAGCTTCCTCCTCCGCACAATGAACTGATGCAGAGCACCCACATCGTAACGTACTTTTTGTCTGATCGTCTTTGTCTAGTAAAATCGGGGAGGAGCAGTCTGCAGAAGATGCTGAGGACGGCCCGCCTGAGCTGCTGGTGAGTGATGTCCTCCAATCCAGATGACTGATTTGGTTTCAGTCGCCTTCAAATGACCACGACAACCTCGGACCAAGTCAGCAGCGATGGGTCATCGTGTTGGCTTGGTTTTAAAATGTGAACCTGTTTGACTGCTCTTTTTTTTATTTATTTTTTATCAGTTCATTCACGGCGGCCACACGGCCAAGATCTCCGACTTCTCCTGGAACCCCAACGAGCCCTGGGTCATCTGCTCGGTGTCCGAGGACAACATCATGCAAGTCTGGCAGATGGTGAATACAGCAGCAGCAACACACACACAGTTTTGGGAAAGAGGGGTTATTGGCAGATGTTCATGACATCTGGCCCTGGGATTTCTGGGGGCATGTCCCTGGCGGTTAAAAGCAAGAACGACACGCTAGTGTTGAGGAAATAAAAATGGTGAAACTATGAAGATAACAGATATACGGGGGGGTTGGTAATGATGGTGTGGTTCAACCTGCCACAGCGGTCAGAATTCATGACATCGTGTTGAACATTGTTGTTGTTGTGGCGTTGGGGGGCGCTCAGTCTCTGCTCGGTGCTGCGTGACAACCTTCCGCTGTCCCTCGGTGTCCCCTCCCAGGCCGAGAATATCTACAACGACGAGGAGCCAGACAACACCCCCGCATCGGAGCTGGAGGCTCAGGGCTCATAACCCGGCTCTGCAACAACCCCCACCTCTCCACCCCCCCCTGCATTCCCAGCCTGTTGTTCCCCTCCCTTGCTTAGTTCAAAAAAGTAAAAAATAAAGTCTGCGCTATGCGAACGAACATTGTTGAAGAGGTGGTGCCCGTGTGGACCCCCCCCTCCCGCCCCCCATCCCTGTAGAGAGACGGGTCGGAGTCCGGCTCATCCTTCGTCCCCGCGGCACTTAAAAGTAGGATGAGAGTTGAAAGGTCGTACTCAGGTAGTGGTGTCTCTGGGGGGGGGGCTGGATTGCCGTGGACCTGCCACACGCAGAAAGGGCTCTTGGGTGTAATTTTATATTTTGACTTGTAAGTATACGGAAAGCTAGTCGACTCAGCCTCCGTCTCCGTGGACCCGTTAACGTTCAGTCGCCCGGCTGCCCGCCTCCTGTTCATAAGGTACTTAAACGCTTCAGTTTTTGGTTGAGTGAAAGGTGTGGGTCTGAATTAGTGCACTTGAGGGGGGAAAAAAATCCCAAAAAACTGTTTCCTCTTTGTTACGTAATGTGAATTATTGTTTCCTGCACCACAAATTGCAATAAAACTTTTATAACTTTTCAAAGAAGTTTATCACTTGTCATTTTTGGATGCGGATCCACACTTTACTCACAGGAAGGACACAAGATAGAAAGAATTCCAGTCATAGCAAATTCTACAAAATGTTTATTCAAAAGCAAGACAGGACCTTAAGAACATTTTACAATCAGGGGGTGTGGGCTTGTATTTTTTATATTTTTTAGTAAAAAGAGCTCTCTGAAGCTGTGGTGACTCTTTCCTCTTGTTTCACAGTTGGTCTCCCCTGCAGAGGTAGATTCTGACATTACCTGAGAGTCAATCTGGGGCAACGCCAAAAGAAAGTGGAAGCTGAAAGGTCTTCACTTAGAATACTACGCCTGTGTCTGCGCTCACATCAACTTCTTTTAGTCACCAAGAGGTGCTGATCTCCTCGTACAAATTCCAAATGCAGAAGGCGCATAGAAGGAAGTACTCTGCAGGAGAACGTCTGGCAGCACACGCACAAGCTTCCACTACAAAAGGGGAGGAGCTAATGGCGTCTGTTAAAATGCTCAGCGAGGTAACCAGCTGTGCTTTGTCACATGTGGTTGAGTAGACAGAAGAACAAAAAACTTATTTGGAGTAACTGAGTCTTCAATTTCCACGACCTCGTGGGCACATAAAGCCCTACAGGTAAAGAATGGGTTTTTTGGGTTAACGCGATGGTCCTTGTAGGTGGAGCCTGCAGTGCCTTGACAAGAGAACCTTCCCTCTGGTAAGATCTCCCAAAGGCCTCCACACTATTACTGGTTAGGTGTGGTGATCACAGGGGCTCCTCATGGAGCATAAAGGCCTGTCGGGCTAATGCACTTGAGCGTTGTTACATCATTTTCAGATGAAGTGAACAGCCTAAGCGCCGTGCACGTTGGTTGGACTGATGAGAAGGAAAACCAAACCACCGTAAACGTATCAGAGTTGTGATGTGATCAAAAATATTTAATACCCTGTGGCCGATACAGACAACAAATGATCCAAAATATGACTGCTCTACTCTGCGTCCCATGATCTCTGCCATCCTACATGAAGGGGCTTATGGTATAATTAACCAATAGTGGAATTACCAATGTAAGACAATAGGCCAAACTCTTTGAGCAGCTTCAACGGAAATACGGTTATGGTACAAAACAGGAAATACCGAGTGGTCGCCATGAGGCCGATCATTACATCCAAAGTGAAAGGGGGGCTGAATCTCAGAACACAATCTTTGATACAATCATTTTATTTCTCTTTGACTATCGCACACAAACATTTTACGGGCTCAGTTGTAATGCGGGAAAACTGGAGAGGCAAGTCTAATAAAAAAAGAAAGATCTCCATCCCCATCGAAGATGATGATTCTGGAGTTGTGTGTGTGTGGAGCCGTCTCACCCACACGGGCCGCGTGGGCCTCGATCAGTCCAGCTGGGGGGGTTCCGCAGGCTGGCCGGTGGTCGTCGTCATAGCAGCAGCATCAGTGGTTTCCTCGGTAGCGGCCGGTGTGGGGTCCAGTTCCGGCGGTCTCAGAGCCTGGTGCACGCCCTCAGTCTCCGGCTCGTCCTCCTGTGCAGAGCCCGTCGCCTCCTCCTCCTCCTCCTCCTCCTCCTCCTCGGGGGCCCCTTCGTCCCCCGGCTCCTGGAGGAGGCTGAGCTGGTTGTTGAGGTCGTTCCTCTCCTTCTGCAGGGCTCTGCACAGCCGCTCCAGCAGCTCCAGCTTCCCCTGCAGAGCCTTGAAGTGGCCGTCGCGCAGAGTTTTCTACGACACAGCACAACGGGCCTCAGAGGTTCAGTTCAACTTAAGATTATTTTGCCAGCGCTTTTAATGACATCTTTCAAGGCGCGCTCCCCAGGAGACTGAAGCCCTAAAGTAAAAGCTACTCAGGGGATCTTGAGTTGGATGCTTGTTTTCATCGATTTTATAGACAAAAAGGCAACTTTGACCTACAACAGTAAGAGTCCTCTGGAAAGTGTCTATCCAATCAAGTACTCTAATGACTTAAGTTCTCCCTGAAGTCAACTGAAAGAACCGACTAACTCTGTTCAGACGGATCGCAAAGCAAATTTCAGAGGCAACGATAGCAAAGTCGATGGCTTGTACCAAAAGAGGGGAAATGTTTTAACTTGAGCAGAAGATTTGAGATTCTCGGGGCTCGATTAATAAACCTTGTAGAAACTGGAAGCCTGGAGGAAAGCGGGATTAGGGTACTTTTACCAAATGATTGACCATTCTCCTTTTTATTGGACATTCCCATGTGTCTCACTGCTGTTCTAGAAAAGCTGGAATAAAGCAAAAGATACAAATATGATAACGCGCGTGGGTCGGGGCAGTCACCTCCTCGGCCATCTGCAGCAGCGCCTGGTTGTTACTTTCCCATTTGGTCCTCCACTGCGTCGTTTCCTTCTCCAGCTTCTTGATCTTCTTGGTCATCTGGGAGGCAAAGCCAGACGGTTAGCGGCAAAAGGGGGAAGGCGGGGGACAGAAGCACTCGTCAGTCACCTTCTCCATCTCCTGTCGGAAGGTGGTGAAGACCTCGTTGCTTTTGGCCAGGGTGCTCTGAAACTCCTCGAACTTGTCCATGTACAGGGAGAGCTGTGGAGGGGAAGAGGGGGGCGAGGAGAGGAAAGGTCAGCGCCACACCTGCCAGCGGGGCCGACACGGCGATTCCTCCGTACCGCCGGTGCTCACCTGCTGCTTGAGCTGCGTCTCTTGCTCCTTCATCACCTCACACTTGCGCCTGGACTCCGTGGCGTCCTTCAGCAGCTGGAGCGTCACATGACGTTGGTTAGTCCGGCGCTCCGGAGCACCGCCAAACACCACGCGCTGATTTCGGATGTACTCACAAAGTCTCGCTCCCTCTGCTGCTTCTCCTCCACCTCTCGCATCATCTCGGTGATCCTCTGCAGCTTGGCGTCCATCAGCTGCTGCTGGAGCTCCTTGTGCTTGAACACCTTGTCTATGTGCTGCAAGACAGGGAAGGGGGGACACATTTCACGCCACGTTAGGCTGGATGAAGCCGCTACGTGGATGACGTTCTCTAAAACCTAACTAGACATGTTTCAAGTTTATTAAAGTGGACAAAATAATCTTTTTCTTTGTTGTGATTCAAGTTCCGCATGAAAACAAAACCGTCTCAACCCCCCGGATTCCTGCTGCGTTTGCAGTGGACGCCACGGGGGAGGGGGGGGGGGGGGGTGAAATAGCTGCGGCGTTGCTTGTGCACCGTAACTTCCTCCCCGCAGCCGTACCGCTCGATGAACTTCTGAGACTTCTCGGGCAAGTTCCATGTTTCCCTGCCTAACTGGGCGTTGTGCGAGCTGTGCTGCTCCATCTGCACCTCGATGTCGCTCAGGGTCATCTGGAAGTGCAGCATGGCCTCCTTTCGCTGCTCCTCGTACTCACGGGACCGCTGGCCGTTTTCCTCCTGGGGGGGGACAGACGGGGGGGGGAAATGGCATCATGTAAGCAGAGAAGTGCTGCGCCTTCAAGCATTGTTGTTGTGAGGCAGCCATGCGTTTGGACCATCGCCATCTTGTTGGAACCCGTGGACAGAAGCGACCATATTTGGACTGAGGAGGAGGGCGTAGACTCATAAGGCTCTGATGGCGGTAGTGACCTGTCAATCATGAGGTAACCCCGCCCTGAAGCATACCCTGCTTTATGTTCCACTTTACTCTAAATGGACCATCATCTACTAGATAAACATCATGCTGTGTTGAAGACGTGAAACTAAAGGTTGAGACCATAAACTCATGTTTACTGAGGGAATAATTAAGTCACAAGTGGAGTATTTTTCTCATAAACATCCAAAAACAGGACATATTTTCGCAACCATTAGCGTCGTCCTGTAATGCAAGCTTCAGCTTCCTAAACTTAAACTGCATCGTTTGAGTCGGTCACGTTTCTTAGAAGCGCCTGTCTGCCACGTGGCGCTGCAGGTCGAGAGGCAGAGGAGTACCTTCAGAGTCTTGTTGTGTCTCTGCAGCTCCCTACAGAGGCTCTCCAGCTTGCTGCGGGCCAGGATGGCCTTGCTGTGCTCCCCCTGCAGGTGGATCTTCTCCTTCACTATCTGAGACTGTTTCTTCTGCAGGGCTTTAAGACGCTTCTGCATGCAGCGGCTCTCCTCCAACTGAGAGAGAACACACACACACATACACATTAGGGTTCAACCTTTCTTTGAAAAAGAAAAGCACACTTGCTTGTTTGACGAACACGGCCTATTAATTGCTCGTGTGATTTACAATACAGATGGGACATTCCTGAGGAAAGACAGCAGCCAGGGTGGACTTCTTAAATGTCTCAGGGCAGATGTTCAGCTTACCAAGTCTGCATATTTCTTGCACAAGGCAGCCAGTTTCTCCTCAGGAGTGGTCAGGGAGTTCAGAGCATGCATCAAAAGAACGACCTCCCTCCCTGAAACAGGAACCACAACAACATGAGGGGGAAACGGAGAACATATTGGGATGTTTTCTCTGGTCAGTGCCGGTAGACCCTTCATTCACTCACAAGGCTGCAGAGAAACCAGAAAAACACATGCTAATCCAGTAATGAGCCATTAGGAGCATTATTCTAACCAAAGATAATGTTCCTCCTGTCATTGTAATGATATCAGACAACTACTTTATTAGCAGTAAGATGATAATACGTTTGTCAGGAACTTTCCCAGGAAAAAGTTTTTAGAACTTATTAATTAGTAATACATATGTTCTGGTATTTTCTAACCAAAGATACAATTATGTTTGTTATTGTGTTCTATTCATGCGGAAATAATGTCAAAATGTTCCATCTGAGAAAGCAACCACCTACTCTTCATATTACTATTGAACTCAACAAAGCTCATGCTGCATTACCATGGTACTTAATATTTACATGTACATCTGTTGCTGAGTTTAGGATTATTAAGATATGGAATACATAATATAGCAGATCGACGTTCTCCGTTTAAGTAGTATTTGTATTTGTTCCTGACTTCATAAAACGGACGTGCAGCCTGCAGAGATATGACTTAAGAAAAGAACAACCTAAATGTGACGAGGCGCTCGCAAGATTCACTGTAGCGTTCCTACCGAACGCTTTGTCGTCTCCGGCCTTGAGGTCGAGCTCCGCCTCACCCAGGTCGGTGGGACTGTCCTCTCTGCCCGGAGTCTCCCCCCTCTCCTCCTCGGCACAGCAGAGCCCCAAACCAAAGTCTGCGACCTCCTCCTGATAAAACACACACACACGTACAAGACATTAGGATTCACAGATGGTTCCTGAATTTGTCCCTAAAATGGGGCTTGTTTTAGACAATTGTATGCAGGCAAAATTGTGAGAGAATTTTGGCTTATGGCAAATACAAAAAAGGGATTCCTTTTAGTACCCCGGATGAAAAGCTACTTTTGCAGCTAATTGATCGCAACTCATTAACCATTTAAAACTGGTAATAGTTCTTGAAACAAAAACACCCAGCCTGACCAATGAGCTTATTCAGAAAAACACACACACATCAGGAGCGTTTGTTTACCTGACATGGGCTGTCCAGGTCGGGTGGAGAGTCACTACCTCCAACTATTCTCCGGGTCGCCACATCAATCTCACAAACTCCCGTCGTCTCCATCGGTCCTAATCGCAAGCTAGAGACACAGAGGGAAAGCAGAGTTGTTGAAAAACACAAACAATTCAGATTACGACACGACTGAATGCGTTGTGATACCAGCGATGGGCAGCAGACGTCACATTCACATTGAATAGTCAAGAGCAAGTAGACTCCATGCGACTCATCGGACACCAAAACACTAATACACCAAACTGCTAATAGACAGGACGTCACGACTCTGGAAAATAACACTGCATTCGGTCCATCATGTATTATTTATTCATGTTCAATTCTTTCAAGAGGCAATAAGCGACTATGCACTGTTGCTCATTTTTTTACATTGAACTTATAAGTGGAAATCAAAGCTTGGTTGGTATAATAAAACAAAAAACAAATCAAACTAGATTAAAGTGTATTGTATCTAGCTAGGTGCAAAGCGCATCTTCAGAGTATTCATATGTAGATTATTGATATAGTGATTACAGAAAATACAACTTCTCACTTAGTGTGCTTAGTAGTTTAAAGGAATAGTTCACGTTAACTGCCAGTCAACATACATGTGATCCGAGTGAGCACGTTAAAGAGACTAACGCGATGTGGTAGTGGTGGACATGTGTGTGTGTGTGTGTCAGCGGCGCGTGTAAAAGCAGAGCCAACTTCCAGATTCCTGCACAACTCAGCGACATGCTGCGGTACGTTAGCTACGTTGCTAGCTTAGCTGACCAAGTTAAATCCATGTAACCATGTAACGATTTAGGAGGATCTCTTTTAAGAGAACAAACGGTTACCTTAAAACTCCATATCCTAAAAACACATGCCTGTAGCGAGGACTAAGATCTTTAAACGCAGCAGTGTTAAACGGGGTTGAAGTGTTAAATTGCTAACGTTTACCAACTTAAAACAAGTTGAAATACTAAAGGGGTGCGCACTTGTATTATAACAGGTACACCGAATATATATACACGAGTAATCTTACATGTACTAACGCCCTTGATGCGTGTAGTCTCAGGAAAGTTGTTTATTATATAAACGACGTAATGATAAATCTCTGACATTTGGTGTGACGTTCGGCCGACACCGGACAGAGTGGCGCGTGCGGTTCCTGGTCCCTGTTAGCGAGCTAACGTCACTTAGCAACACGCACACACACATTTCACTATGTATCTGTTACCAAACGGCAGTTAACACTAGCAGCGTGCGCGCACAGCACAGCTGGTACATTATCCGCAGTACGGCGGGGAAGTGTAACGCAAATAGCTAACGTAAGATAACGAGTGTGCTTTCGCTATCGGGGCTGATGCTAATCTTGTGCTCACGGCTATCGGCGGCTAGCCCCGCCGGCTAACACCAGAAGTGAACTTTACTTCGCCAAATAGCAAACGTGTCATTGCGAAAGCTACACGTTCCGGCCGATACTGACGGGTCACGCACTGCGCTGAAGTTGTGTAAAAGGATCACGATAAAATAGCACAAAAACAAATAGGTTGGTGAAATCGCTTGAGCGCTTACCTGTGTTTTTACACTGGCTGGAAGCAGGACACGGTGATCAAGCTAACGGAGCACTGTCCAATAACAGGGACCACTTCCGGTCCAGCACTTTTTTTTACCACACCAGTTGTATTTAGACTAGTAATAATAATAATAATAGTCATCATAAATATTGATTGGCCGTGGTCATGTTAGCTACTGTGGTAGCTGTAAGTGCCGTAATTTAGTTAAGCAGAAATGCCTTATTAGGCTGATAATTAAATTAATGAATGATGTCATGTCTTTTGCCCATGCTAATAACAAGTGATGATGCTTTTAATCTGAGAGTCGCAACCTCACACTTCCGGGTAATGACGTAAACTTGATGCTGTGAAAGTCAAAACCAAAAGCGAAAATCTCTTGAGCTTTTCTTTTCCTGGCACGTTAGAGACTCCCATCGACAATATACATACTTACAATATCTAAGCATTTTATCCAATTAAAATCATCGCATTGGTTTAACGGCAAATTTTAATGTTGATGTCATTTAATTCGCCTCCTAAATGCTTATCATCTTTTCTCCTCAGTAAGTTGTAACATATCTAACAAGTGGAAGTTAGCATTCAAATTATGTATGGAAAGTAGGTAGCATTTTAATAACTCATATAAGAGAGAAAAAAACAAATAGGTTCAGCAAACTAATAATTTATGGATCCCCCACATGAAATTAAAATCACCTGGAGAGTTCAATGGGTCAGTAGGGAACACTACATTAGCACGTGGAATGTGCGCCAAATGATGGATCCTACATGTAATGTAAAGTAAAGTTAAAAGTAATTTTTAAAGTAAAATAAAAATGTCCCTTTGTGTTAGGAAATAGAGAACCAGAAGTACATTTCTCCCTGTTATGAGTTTACATTTGGAATGCCAAATGCAGAGTGGCCTTCTGCTTTTGGCACAGCTGGATAACGGATAACCATTACAGTTAAGAAGTAACCATTTCCAGTTTACGTTACGATTTTTGCCAATGGATACACACAGAACACCACGCCTTTTCCTGATTCTGGGATTACAGCAAGAGCAAAGCCATCGGCCGTACTCATACGATGGATGAACAAGAACTGTTCACATACTGTACATCGACAAAATACACAGTGAACAGTCTTGTCTTCGCCACGAGGGGGCGCCAGTGGTGCCTTTTTTCTTTCACACGTGTATGTAACCCGTTGTCATAGTGGATGGAGTCTCAGGGGACTTGGCTGGTGTGTTGTCTTTAGTTCAGGACACATCCACACTGACCAAAGCAACTCCATACTGGCCCAGTGTAACATTCCCACATACCTGAGGTATTTAGACCTTTCATGACTCCATAAATCTTTTCAAATAGATCTTTCATTATTTACAGATCATAACAATGGGGCCTGAGCAGAGACGTGTAAAAAGGCCCCAAAGCACCAAGAACTGCCCCCCCCCAAAATACTTTAGCATTCTGCACAAACCCCCCCAAAGGAAATCATCAAAGGAAACCGCTCTGGTCTCACTGGTCAATAGACTGGACAGTTGACAGAACATGAGTAAGCAAATGTTTTGCAAAACTGATAAATCGTCATGTTCGGAAACTGTAAGGAGGCATTTGATCTAAAAACAACAACAGCAACATGCTTCTAAATCATTTCAAATATTAATAATAATAAGAATCATAACACAAAGCAGAGATTTAATTTGGTTTATTCTGTAAAAGACAGAAGATCTCTGATTGGGCGTTGAAAGTATGAACAGTGTTACGTTGTATAACTGATAACAGATCTTTGGCTGATTCAAATATTTATTTAATCAGGCTTTCTCGTTGTGATTATGACCTCAGGAACACAATCTGCACAACGGAAATAAAGAACACCACACAATAAAAAGTAATTCGAAATAATTAAAGTTACATTTCTTTTAAATCACATAGTTAAGTTAAGTGGCATACGATTGAAACCAGCTCTGTCAACATTACTGCGTATACTTCAGGGATATCTAACGGTAATCGTTAGATAATAATTGAATATAGAATATCACACTCCTTAACCTTTTTTCCCGGTGCTACAGTGATTTCAACTGGGAGGTCTTCGCTTCACGGACCAATGAGCGCACGCCTCCGTGCTGGAAACAGAAGCCGATTGGCTCAAACCAGAGTACCGTCGTCACATTCTCAGCCAATTGGTCGGCTGGCTTGTCTTGACCGCCCGAGGCCCGCCCCTTTTCTCTCCTCCGTGAGGACGACGTTCTCCCATCCAGACCGGAGTGGGGAGGAGAAAAACAGGCAGAAAGACAGCAGCTAGCAGACGAAGGTCTGACTGCCGGGAATAAAAACCCAGAGGAACCTCCTGCCGCTTCGCCGGGATCCGCACACGCACCCAGGCGTGTATAACAGCCCCCCCCTCCTACGGTACGTCCTCCTCCGCTTTTGTTGCCACAGTCGCCGATAGTTTGAGTCCTCTGTTATAAAGACACAGCGGTGTCAAATGACACGGAAATCATCTCGTTCCGTCCCGTGTGAAACGGCATTAAGCGTCTTTAGTGAGTAACGAACAGAGCAACGAGTGCTGGGAAGAGAGAGTCCGGGACTTTGTCCATGACGTCTCCTGCTGCGCGAGACACGTTGTTGCTACTAAGAAAAGCTACTTTTCACCGCGAAGTTCACGCCGGCTCCTCCTGCCGCTTCTTGTTGACTTTATCAACTGCTTAACTTCCCGTTTTGGTGGTTGTTGTAAATGTGTAACTACCTGCAGTCAGGTTGAAAATGGCTGACTTCCAGAAAGCAGCCCCGAGCAAAAGGGGTTCCCTAACGCGGGGTAACCCCCTTTTTTGGGGGGCGTGAGGTCAGCCCACCTACTCCAGGAACCATGAGTATGCATGAATGCCACTGCTGCCGTGATCTACACAAGACACGAGGAACATAATACATATATTTAGTGGAAGTTCAGCAAACCGCAATGGCATCCGTGAAGGATGCATCCACCCATAGCGGAACAGGAGAACCCCCCCAGAAGGTGAATGTGTCCCCGTGGAAACCCAATAAGCCTTTGGTACTGGGGCTCACAGTCGCTGAGATGTGGATCTCCTTGGCTGGGGATCCGCTAGGGATCCGCTTCATGTGGATTATGTCACAGAGATCAGGGGGCCGTGTTGCCCCCAGTACGAGTCTCTGGTGTGGCACGGAGGGGAGCATCGTGTTAGACCATCGTGAGCCACCAAAACGCTTTGGCTTTGGTTTCTTGAAATCTACCAAAAATGTCCATTTCGGCGACTTCTTCCAACGAAGATGGTAAAGCGTCTCCTTGCTCGCTTTATTGGCCGTTTCTTAAGATAAAAATGTTTTATCATCAGTTATTTTATTTTTCCTACTTAATGCATACGTGGTTTACTTGCTCAGCAGCCTTCTGGCTTTCTTAAAGGTCAGAGGAACTGAAGCTTTCCTTTGGGCGGAATGTTACGGCACTATAAGAAGGGCCCAACTGGGTTTCGAACCTCCAAACCCCTTCCAGTGTAGACCCTGGGACACGTTGTGGCAGCAGCTTCTCATATTTCAGTGGCAGATTACATCGTCGGCAGGTCATCAAGGATGATCCCACACCGCGAGGTCACTTAGGCCGACAAAGGGTCCACTCCACAAACGGAGCCTGCAGCTACAAGTGGACTGTGTAGTTTAACGAGACCAGAGTGGTTCAGACTGTTGTGATCTGACTGATCGCAAGTCTCCTGCTCAAAGGAGTGCAGGGAGCAAGGTAACAAGGTGCTTGTGAAAATGAATGTGTAAAACGGAGTCCAGCGTTTCACAGGGCCAGATGCATCCATCAGGGGAAGAGTAAACCTTAGTGCCCCTTCCAGTTTGAGCTATTCCTTGATTTACTTCCAGATGTTGAAAACATTTGGTCATTTTGAGAAGGAGATGGAAAAATGTTGACTAGATGCTGAAGCCTTACATTCCCACATGGGTACTGAAAGTCAGGCATTGGGTTGATGAAGTATTGTAGGTGGTACTTTCCCTCAACTGTAGTGACCAATGGTAATAAAAAAAAAGACTAAACAATGACACAACGTCCCACATCTTTTCCGTTCGTCATAAATAAATGTAATAATTAACCTCCGGTATCAGAACATCTCGCCCTCAGGACGGACCCCCCCGTCTGCTCAGATGTCTCCGTTTGTGCCTGAATTCCAGCGGCAGAACAAAAAAAAGCATTTGTTTTTGTTTCTGTGCTGCAACATTCTGGGTGGTCTGGTGAGTTTGCCTGGATCCTGATTGTCGCTCTTCTCGTGTAGTTTATGTAAACTAACCAGCCCCCCCCCCCATCGCCCCGGCAGACCAACCGACTCCTGCCGCGCAGCCTATGTGCATATTTGCAGTGACCACACGGTCTTCCCAGCCGGTCCCGTCCCCTGCGGGCGGAAAGCGTGCGCAACCTGTTTCCATCGATCCAATCGAATGCCCTCCGTCTTTGAAGCGGTTCAACTCTCCGAACCGCATCTCAGGGAGGGGATGTGAGTTTGTCACAACACAGTGACCTTTACCTCAGGCAGGTAGGAAGGACTTTTGAGATGGTTTGAATCTGGATGTTGGGACGAGACGCCGTCACCAACGGCCCTTTGCGGTCGCTCACATCAGGCGGCACCATCTGTTTTGCCGCTTGCACCTCTGCCAGCCTTCGCTCTGCTCGCCTCATCCTCACCCCCTTCTCTCCCTCTCTCTCTCTTTCTCGCCTTCCAGTCGTCCATTCAAACCTTGAACCGGTCCGTCTAATTGGCCCCAAATGTTGGACAAAGAAAAAACAAAGGATCCACCTGCCACTCTCCTAAAATAATGCATGAGCATTACACCGACATGGATGGCGAGTGCCGCTAGGGAAGACCTCTCTGTGCGGTTGTCATGGAAACAACGGCGTGGTGAAAGGGAAAGAAAGAACACGTGCTTCTGGTTCAGACACCATGTCTGGTCCTTGTGGCTGTAGCATCAAGTCTGTTTCAATGAATGCGAGGTATTTTTTGTTTAGGATTGACTGTGCGTATGTAAACAAAGCGTCACTGATCAATATGTCTGGGAGCGAGTGAGCTGACACATCAAAAAAGATTGGTTATCGTGCTTTGAGATGCAATCATTCCTCCGTGTCGGTGTTATGTGCTTTGATGTGGTTTCCCATCCGTTGGTCAGCCCGAGACAATACGCAATATTTCAGGAATGCCAAGAGGGCTTCTTCAAATTTTTAACAAACGGCCGAGTGTATTATAGGATGAACTGGGTGGAGTACAAAGGTCACTGTATTGTTTTGATATGTTGTGCTCAGAAATATAAAATTCATCGGCTTATAAAATGAGGACATTTTGCAGGAACATGCATGTAAAACCTGTTGGTGAGGCACAAACCGCATGGTGTAACAAAAAAACATGCATGGGGAGCACGTTGAGTGGCTCGGTCCAACTGTGCAAACGTGATTCAGGTTTCAATCATGTAAAACAAAAAAATCATCTAATAATATTTTAGATTTTTGATAAATGAAAAGCATAGTTTGTAAAATGATGTGACCATTTAGCATCCACAACGTTCCTGGATAGAAACCCGGCTCAGTGGAGCTGCTGCCGCTGTTGGATATCAGTCCTTTGTGAAAATAGACCAAGCTTTGTCCAAAGCTACATTGTACATTGAGTTTAAAATGATTTCTTTTCACAGCCTTTTATTCATTATTTATCATCATTTGGCAAACTACAGCGTGACGTCTTTTCTCCCGTTTGTGTCCCGTGTCCCTCTGGTAGACCTTTCTCTTTTTGTCCGTCTTCCTGTGTGGGACATCAACATCCTCTCATTTGTCGCCCCACCCTGCTGCAGCTCAGGCCCGAAACCGGAGGAGGCTCCTCCATTGTGTTATTGAGTCCGCTCCAACACGTCCCTCCTACCCATCGCTTCTCCCTTTTGCCCTCAAAGGAAGGCGTGTGTGCATGTGTGTGTGTGTGTGCGCTGCTGACCGGTCCAGGGCCGTAACGCCTTGGTGAGAATGCCGCCATATTTGCTCCGGTGCGGTCGGGAGCAGCTGGTGAGTAGCTGGCGCCCTGGATGCCAGGGTGACCGTGTACCTTCAGCCCCCCCCCGCTCTCCTCCCAGCTGGTCCCCTCTCAGCCACCTAGCTCTTTTTCGCCTGGCTTCTTGAAAAGGAACCTTTCGCTCTCCATCTCGGTGAGCTGTCAGACCCCTCGGAGGTCTCGGATGTCAGCTTGTTGCCTGCGTCTTTTTGAGAAGCAGCAGGAGACAAAATCTGACTCAAACTGGACCGCTGTTGATTATCTGCACATCCTGCCCTCATCATAACGGATTAATAACACAGTCAGCCATCTCAGTGTGAAATAAAAGTGTTACTGACCATCATTATCCACCTACATTCAGTCATGTGATCATGTTGCTGTGCACAACTAATCCATCCATTTTGGCAGGATGGTGACAGCACCTCTTAACGGCTAACGAACAACGCTTCCTGTCGGCTACATTATGATGCCTTCAGGCGGTTCCGTGAAAATAAGAATTGAGCGAAGGTGAATCTTGGTTATCGTGACAAATTCCAACTCAATCTCATACAATGTGTGTGTGTGTGTTTAACCTAAATCCAGGTGTTTGAAGGAGATGTTTTCACAACAGCATGAATGGATATTAAAGATGAATCATGACCTGTTTATAATACCTCTAATGAAAACCATTACATCATTAAAACCTCTAATTACAATCTTTTTATTGCCTCAGTATTTAAAATTTGTGTTTTTATAAAGACAAAAAACAAATGTTGATCGTACAAACTAGCGGATGAACAGATTTTCGCAACAGTGGCAAAGAAAATAATCTGGATTCTTGGAGACCAACTGCTATAATCAAAAAACATGAATGGATCATCAATAATCGGCAATTAGTATCGTAAGCAATGAACATAATCAGGGATCTCTAAAATGTAATATTCCTCCCCTTTGTTAAGTATTGTGCTGATCTGCGATTTGATCCGCGATCCGATCCGAACCCTCTCTTTTATGATCCCTAACAGAGATTGGATTCATACCCAAGCAGAAAAAGATCTGGTAGACTGTTGACAATGGGAAAGGAAAAGGAGGCCTTGTCCCGGACATCCTCAGAGACAGAGCGTGTTCATCGGTGCCCAGGCTGACAGATACACGCTGCGACGCGCCCATTTGTTCATGTTGCATTCACTATATTTGGCGGTTTAATGTCCTTCCACGGCGGGACGAGCTTTTTGCACTCAGCTGTACTTCCGTTGCCAAACTGCCATGCTGACGTCCGAGGTGTGATTAGAGAGAGGTGGAGGTGTTGGCAAGTTACTCTGCAGCCGCTCAGAGACTGTGATTGGGAGCCGCGACTGGAAAGAATCGGTTTTCATTTCTATTCATCTGCCTCCA